TTGTAAGTATTTTTTTGAAGAGTAAAGAACTTGGGTGTTAGCTTTTCAGGAAACAACAACATATGGGACAAATAAATGTATTAACTAATTTTCTTCAAGATTTGCAGTCAATAAAATGTCTACAATCATAATTTGCGCATCTGGTCACTATTTTTTGTCATACATATATCTAAAACATAGTCTGGCGTAATGCCTGTCTATAAGAATTATCATTAAAATATCATTTGTTCTCCAGGTCTCCAGGTAGCATTATAAAGCTAGCTTTCTTCATTGGAAGCATCTATAAAATCGACCTGCAGATTAATGGAGAATACATTGGCCATACATTGGAAATACAATCTGATCTAACTCAATATTTTGTCTTTTTCTTGACATTATTCGCTTTATTTTCTTTGCTTGAGCCCATCTGCCGCTCTTACCATTTATTATACATCAATTGATTTACTTAAATACTCTAATCGGCTTTATCTAATTGCCCCCGGAATACTCCCACTGCCATTACCTTTACCTTTACCTTTACCTTTACTCCATTGACTAGTTCGAAAACAAAAGGCAACAACGAAGGCGAAAATTTGTTGCCTTCTTCGGCGCTGCGTGTGCTAAATCGCCGCGTGTTTCCTCCACGGTTGCTTTCCAGCAACAGCGGGTAAATGACTTAATAACCAATAAACTTTTGTTTTATTTATTTGCAAATAAAGCGTTAAATCAGCATAATAATGGCGCAAGGTGGGTGGGACTCCCAGCCCCAGCCGTAGGCCGTGGAACACTGTGGCTCGGATGCCACCGTGAGGGTGGACGTGGACACACACAATGGCCTGCTGGCGATTAACGCTCCGTCGACTTCTTTGCGGTAATTGAAGTTTTTGAATAGTAAATAACGTCGTCTTTAGCTGCTGAAGGCCCTCTTTCTCCTACCATTGCTCTACATTGTTTGGCTCTGGGTCCAACCGACGAGTATACCTACGGGTACTAATAGACGAGCAGTATGTACTCGTATCAGAGGGCAGCCCTGAGTCGGCCTAGTACCTAGCACCCTGACTGTCCAAAGGGTCGAGTCGAGTCAGCCGCAACAAAAACACACACAAAAAAAAACAAAAAACTTTAAAATAAATAAAATACATGCTTCAGTGGCTAAACGACTGGGAAAACACCTCAGTATAAATAAAATGGGAAGGATTTATATTTCGACCCTGATATCGCACTAACAATAACCCTATTTTATTTGTTAATTTTGATTCAAGCCAAAATCCAAAAAGTTTTAATCATCTACCGAAAAGTCAAACCTCATACGATATTGTCTGCGAAATGTTTAGCGAAATTTACAAAGCCCTTTTAAACTTTCCCAAATTGATTTTTACAAATCGGTTTTTTAATCTGAATGCATCAGAAGCATAGTGATATAGGGTACATTTCCGTTGGTAGTCCTGCGTTGACCCCGTATCAAGCATAATAAAAATATTTCCCCAACTGTTGAGGGCGTGCGCTGTGCTGGCAGGAGGAGGTGGCCCAGGCTCAGGTCCTCGCCCAGGAGTCGACGCTGATTGTGTGCGGCTCACGTAGTCGAACCGCAATAAATATTGATGAGCACACAAACACAACATTAAAACATTGTGCGTAAAATGGTCGAGGTTCTAGGAGAGGAGCCCAGCGTGGGAGGACTCACCTTCGGGGCCCTCGATCGCCTTTTTCCTCTAATTTGTCTCGGCCTTCCAGCAACAGTTAAGGGCAGTAAAATTTAATAACAATAATAATGCTAGTCCAGAAAATTCAAGAACTTCGCTTTATTTTCATACCAATTGCAGTGGGGGTCTCCTGTCCGTCGGGAATATCCCAAATGGTTCACTAGGGCAGGAGAAAGCTTACGAGAGTGACCAAACACAGAGAGAGAGAGAGAGAGAGAGAGAGAGACTAAGGTCGGCGTCTAGGTTGGGGTCGGAAAATCTATTAAATATTTACAGCCACAAAGAGGAAAATATATCTTAAATAACACTCAAGCCAACTCATAGGCGGGGCGAGGGAAGCTCAACAAGTTTTGGAGATATGTACATACCCATACCCATAGAAAAAAAAAAAAATATTCGGACGACGGCCCAAAAATACATACGTTTCGTTATTTCTTTATGATGTGGTTCTCCCTCTTCCCATTTTACAAAATCGTACTATAATACCCATAAATATTATTCGCCGATTCCTCAACTACTTATTGCCTCGTCATAGCCTTCTCCGTGCATTGATATCTAAATATGCACAGTGTACAGTGAATACCCTCTTCCAAGTTGTTTTGCGGTTGAACTATTAACTCTAAAAGCGACCCTGGCTGGCTTGGTAATTGAATTGACCCAGCGGGGACACGTCTTTGGGCCGTTCAGGTGGTTGTGGGTGTGGGCCCAGAGGTTTATTTAGTTAGCAATTTCTCTAATAGGTTTACACTCAATCTGCGATGCCAGATGGTCGTCCGAAACACCGTCTTACAACACTGTGCGACAGTGTTTTGTACTTGTGTGAAATGGTGGACAACTTTAACATTGGGCTCATTTATCTTCAGGTATAGCTTCTGTGTCGAAAGTACATGCAGATCAAATAAAAGTCCATACATTACTTTTTACAGCCCATCGAATGCGCAAAGTCAACAGGCGCATTTGAATTTAAAAAAAGTATTTGCGAATATATCGTATATTCTACGTGTATGTATGGGCATGTGATCTACACATCCAGACGTACAAACTTATTTTTTGCCTCGTGCAAATTACACTGATTTTGTCGCACAGTGAAATCCTCACTCTCGGGTGACCTCCTTCTCTTGGGGCGCGCCGAATTGTTAGCCAATCAAATGGTCCAGAATAGTGCTACACACATTTTGTTGTTGCTCTTTTGTGGCTTGGGCTTCCATCTCTCCGCCATCTCTCCGCCTCTTCCTATGCCTTTGGAGTGGTGAAGGGTAGTGAAGGGGCACACGTTTGTGGTTTGGATTGAATTTCGGGCCCAACTTCAATTGATAATTACTGAAATAATTGATACAATTGCTCGCGTTTGACTCAATTGAATCCCACAATCAATGTCCCCAGCCACAAATCGTGGGCCGCATAGCGCCATGCGTTCAATGCAACAGGAGTAGCCTAATTACATATGTATGTGTTTGATTTTGCTTTGCCAGCAGTTGCCCTAGCGACAAAATCAGTAATCTTGATATCTTGCTCACCGATTTTAAGGGATTTCTAATTGGGCGGGAGTGTGGATTGGGGTGGGGTTTTGCACAAAGGTAGCACACATTTAACGTGCAACTTGAGATGGTTATACACTTGTGTCCGCTCGGTTAAGGGGCTTCCAGAGTTTTTAAATCTATAGAACAGGCCGTGCAGAGACTACACTTTAGAAGACGACTAGTCAACAGGTGTTAGTCTAGTATAGGTACACATGTATGACTAGATTTGTGAACGAAATGTTGTGCTGCATTAATTTCTTGAAGATCTCACCCGTACAGTGCCACGTACTTTTGCTCTCATCTTGAGCTGTCTCAGGCAGTGTGTCGGAAATGCTGATGTTAGATAGAAATCAAGAATTGGCATATCCCCCGCTGATCCGCGGATGGTTCGTGGCTTGTATGGACTTTGGCACACTGTACTGACGCTGCCTATCAACGCTGGATTTGGGTATCAGAACAGGAGGCTAAAGTCGAATTGATGGCACTCTACATCTCATATCTGATAGGAGAAAACGATAAGGCGACACCCCACAAGAGAGACATGCTTTTACCTAGTGCTTACCATATATGTATGTGGTGTGGTCACAACCTCGAAGCGTTCCACGCTATCCCATTCTGATAATGTAGTGGCTGGCCACACATTAAGATCTTCAACGGCTTTGGGCACACCGGCATGGGCACGGTCGCGTCTGCGCAATACGTTTGAAAGCGATGCGCGCTTATTCGTAATGTAAGCAAGCCACAAATCAGCTGTTTCTGTGTATCGGTGTCCGATGGTATATCGAAGTCGATTGCAACTATGATTCTCTCTCTCTCTCTCTCATTGCGATTATTACATTATATTGGAATTGCCATTTACCAGTAATTTGCTAAATTGTGTAATTCCCATAGAAGAATGGTCAATCCGCATTATAAAAAATGGAACAAAAGAAAGAGCATGGACCCCGGGAAAAAGAATGTGAGTAAAAAAGATCGATGGGATGAGAACGTGCAACACATAAATGTCTCGTTGCTAATAAATTGCCACGCAGAAGCAGAAGCCGACACAGGAAAAAGAGAACAACAAGTCTGAAGACGCAGCCTCGGAGGCCGTAGGCTCCGGCGTGCGTAAATCGGACGAGGATTTCGTCGATTTTTACGAGGGCGTTGTGCTCGGACCGCCCCAGCAACGGATGCTCTGCAAAGCCATACCAGAGGATGTGCTCGGGGACTATGAGCAGATGTTCGAGACGATCGGGAATGTCACTAAGGAAATAGTTGACTTCGGCAAGTACGAAGTATACGTGATGCTGTATCCCACTCTGGCCATTGGCTACCTGCAAATGGTGTGGAGCGGCAAGTATGAGAGGGCCATATCCTTCGTGGGTAGGAACGAATACAAGTTGGACGATTCCTACAAGAGGCGCATCGAATATCTGAAGCTCATCCGCACGCCAGAAGACCTACCGGAAAGAGCCCAGGAGCTGCTATCTGGTGCGGACACAGTGGAGATATTCATGGCCAGGAGCACCTTGAACCAGTTCAAAGTACTCCAATCTCAGTTTTGGACAAAGGGGCAGCTCAAGACGTTCTTGTCCCACTTTAAAATCTTCATCTACTCTGATGAGATGATGCCCCAGGAGCGTATCCACCTCGATCGTCTTTTGCCGACGCCATTTTCCGACGCCATTTGCCTGGGCTTCCGTGGACGCCATTCCCGACAGGCCGTGCGGCCACATCGTGGCAAGGACTGGCTACGCATGAACACCCTGCGAAGGGAGATGCTCTTTGTCAGAAACTCTTTGCGCACCACGGGGCCATGAGTGTGGCGTTCGACCCACCCGAAGTGCTGCTACTTTGCCACCGCCTCCAACGATAATGTGGCGCGCGTGTGGAGAGTGGATCCCGCAAAGCACGTTGTGAGTTTCTTCGGTCACTTGGCACGATTGGAGGTGTGCCTTTTCCATCCGAATGGAAAGTACCTGGCCACTGGATCGGCAGACGCCACCGCCAGAATCTGGGACTGCGACAAACGCACTCAAATGCGACTCTTCCGCGGCCACAAGGCCCCCCCCCAAGGCTCCCCCCCCAAGGCTACCTGGTCTCTGGTGGCCGAGATGACCTGATCAATGTCTGGGACACAACCATCGAGCGAATAGTCTACAGCCTGCCCCAGCCCAACGCAAATATTGCCTCGATCGATTTCTCCTACTGCAACAATCTGCTGGTTGTTTGGAGCCAGGACTGCCATCTGAGCCTTTGGGAGTTTCAGCTGCTCGTCAAGTGCCCCGAGAAGAAGGTTTCGTCCACCCAAAGCACCAAAGCAAGTGAGCTGGCGCTAATCAGCACGATTCAGGCCTGTAAAAATGGAATTTTCCTTCAAAGTGGGTTCGTCGGTCGCGATGCCCTGATTGTCATCTGGACGATGAGTTCTCGGAAGGTAATAGCGTTAAGCCCGAAAGCAGCCGAGAAGAAGACTGGCGTTGTGAAGGCTCTTGAAACTTGTACTTTGAATACAGAGAAATGATGAGATTGGTAGGTCGTGTCTCAGTTAAATGAAGTTCTTAAACTAATCATGTTCCATTGGCATATTCTATTGCACCTTCAGATGCAGAAATAGCTTCTCGGACCCAGGCGCTGAGGCGAGTCATCGATGGAAAGCACCGTGGATTCCATGAACATACATTCGATTCAAGTATATAAACGTAAACATACACAGCCCAAACTTCAAACATTAAAACTAACCATTCGGATCCCACTCATTGTTTGAGCTGTAAGTTTCCACTGGTCAAAGCAAAGGCCTTCCCTGATTTTATGTGCAATATTGTTCTGTTTTTCAGAATATATATCAATGATTGCGGCACTCCCTGAGTGGCCCCAAAAGACTATTTAAAATACGGTAGACAAGTGCTGAAAGTGGTTCGCGGTTGCATTCAACTGTTTTGTGGCCTGGCTTCCGGAACTCTCAATCCACTCCACAGCCCACGCGACTTCACAACAAATGGAGCTACAATTTATGGACCGGCACAAACCCTCTGAAAGACGAACCGAATGCATTAAGTAAAATTTCCATTTTGAAAAATTACTGATTACTGACTATCTTGCAGACATTGAATTTTGTGTGTGTTGGGACAATTGGAAATGGCTTTATTTATGATCATCCATTGAGGTCACAGCTTACATAAATATGTAGAAACATGTGCATAATTGATTACAGATATGTATAAATGTAATACAATATGTGAGAATTGGGGACCGCAGCTGCTGGAATCTCAAAAAAGATGTCCAAGGAATGAATGTGTAATATTTCAATCTAAGCCATTAAATGATGTCCAGACACATTGTCTCTCTTTTCCCTTCCCACTTGGATCCAGGGAAGAGGATTCGAATTGGGACTGGGATTGTAAATATAAAATACAAATGTTCAATCTAAATTAAGCATAAACCATAGGAATAGGCCATAGGAAGGCCGATCAGGATGTCAGCCAGTCCTGATCAACAATCAGCTGATACCTTCCAATAGTTCCGATACATGCGTATAGATTAGCTGTCTAAGAAATACAACTAACACCTAATCTATGCAATCAAATTGATATCAGTTAAGATAAGTTGCATTATCTATTGCTTATAACGACATTTGGGTATGACTACTACTACAAATTTCGTTGGCCCTTTAAACGTCGCCCCAAAGGAACAACTATTTCATCGAAGCCCACTGTTAATTTACATAAAAATGTTTACCAAATCCATGACAGAAAATACTCAATACTCATATAACAGGACTGATAGCAAGACTATCTTTGTAAGATATACACCATATACTCGTAGTATACCATGAAAAGAAGGGGATTGAAAATGATTGAACAACATACATCTGCGCTCCAAAATAGTAGATTATCTGAGTAATAGTTGCTCTTTATAAGAATCGTACACAAATTCGTAGTTCGTGGCATTTTATTGATACGAGTGTAATACGTTTGATTGAGTTTCAAGATGTTTCAGTTATAATAATTGAACAATCGAAGCATGTACGTAATGAGTATTATTTAATTATTAAGCTGCTGTTGTTGGGTAGATACGCCAGGGCATTTCCAAATGATGTAGAATCGATACTGTTTCCTTTGAAAGTATATTTTCGGATCCTCCGACTCCAGCAGAGTGGCACATTGTGGATGAGCAAAGAAGGCCAGATGCTGATGAAAAAACATTTATATTGCATAGATCCCTTTCAAGTTATTTCATTAGCCACTTACCAATCTGGAATGGCGAATTGAGGATGACTTCTATTTTTTGTAATATTTCTAAACAAATTTTGTGGATGTGGTGCCTAGGGGTGGAGCAGTACTTTTTCAGCTTTCTACTGGAGTTTCTTGAAGACGTGTTTAGCTTGCAGACCAGCCCACATGGCAATGAGAAGAGTAACCAAGTACATCAACAGAAGATTGTTAACGATTGAACCAATCCAAGCCATGGCCAGGAGGACCAAGCTTTTCACAATCACGAGGCCGGTCGATTTACGTTCCTTGAATAGATACTGGTACCATGCTGCCAAGCTTTCCTTGATGATGTACATCTGTCCGCAAACAGACTCGAATTTCGCGTCGTTGTCGATATTCCAAAACAAGCCGGCCATTTTGGTTGAGAAAAAGTCCAAAATGAAATCCGGCGGATCCAGGCACCACAGAAGAAAATAGTGCGAAATGGTAGTCAGCAATGCCAGGAGAGACATAAGAGTTATCACCGATAGATCCATGTACCAGAGAACGAAATAAGCGACGCTTATGCCCCCCAATACCACCACGGGGTAGTATTTTTTCTCCCAGGTAAGGACACCATAGGCAGTCACTATAGGCGCTTGAAATCGCTCCAAATCATGCTTAAGCTTGATCACCATTTCGTTATTACCAATGTCCGATGCTGTCATCTCTGTGCTTCGTTGCGTATCGAGTTCAATTGGAGTTTTCAACATAGTCTCTGCCTTTAATTTAAGCAAAAAGTCGCTTTTTTTTTATTGCTAGCCAACGTCAATGCATCAAATGAGAGGTGGCAACGTCAAACCATCGAAGGTACTATCGATAGTTTCGATGTTTACCTGCAAGCCGGTTTCATCACTAGCCATACAGTATATAGATGTGCCCGTTCATGCTAGAAAGCGTCACGCGATGGTTTACCAGTTCGAATACCCCAGAGACCTCGGCTCTGGCGTTCGGGTACTGACGCGTCATCATGAGAAAGCGCAGAGAGAACATCTTTGCATGTGTTAGAACACCGCAATATGCTTCGACAAAAATATGTGTTTGCATGCTTTTTTCGTGTGTGTGTCTAGTATTGCTGGCCGCTAGAACTGAAATTAAAGTTTGGTTCTTGTTTTGGGTCTTTTGATGAACGGACCTACTATTTGATTTGAATTACATTTTATTAATTTATAATTTATTAATAATTTATATTATATTAATTTATATAAATATAATAATAATATATCGCAATAACTAATTTTTAACATTTATTTTCTTATTTTAAATTATAAAAATTATGTAAACGCCGTCGGTTCTTGACTTCTTAGTTTATTATAACTAAAATAATGATGTATCTAAATAAACGATATAAGAAAAAATATATCTATATACTAAAATAAATATGCATAAATATAAATGGAATTTGTGTTACATATATTTCAAATCAATTGTCAATAGCGCGCTTTCCGACGGGAATGTGCAAAGCAAAAATGTAGATGCGTGTCGCACCATGACTACTCTCATGGACAATACCCAAACATTTTCTAATTAAATTATGTAACATCTTATGCACATATGTACGTATGTACATAGCTATGTCAGATTATTACATTCGTATATTGCATGAGGGTATTTAAAATAACTGTTGTATTCTTTAAGAAGTGTTAGTATCCTAAAATACTCTAAATCAAAGAAACGAACCAGAACAAAATTCAAATTAAGTGCATGCCTTTGTCACAAGATTTCGAGACTTGGTATATCCATCATACTCGCATACATACATACATTACATCCAGTTGCACGCCATGTTTCCAAGCTAATAATGTTGAGTTTGCCACGTGTGGTGAACTTTAAGGTCTGTGGTGTGTTTAAGACTGCCAGACTCTACTCCTTGCGTCTGGCCCTGAGTCTCAGTGCCAGATAAGCCAATACCCTAAAGCTAACAATTAAGATGCCCAGTCCCAAGTAATCCAGGGGCAAATCCTCAGCCGAGAAGTTTAGGGTCTCTAGGATGACCTTGCCGGAGCTGGGGCACGTCGTGTTCGAGGAGGTGCAACTGATTTCACCTGCCTCCACATCCGCCCACTGGTTGATGAGCAGCCCCTCGTTGGCGTACCGGAACCAGGACAGATACGACAGCCACTTCAGATAGACGGGCACCGACCCGGAATTCAAAAAGAACCCACCGAACAGCAGGAACGGGATAATGACGGGTGGGCCCACCGACAGGGCCATCGAGGTGGAGGAGCTGGCACAGGATATCAGATATCCGAACGATGTCGACACATTGGCCACCAATGTCACCAGTGCCAGGCAGTTGAAGAAGTGCATCACACCCGGCCTGAGTCCAATCATTGGATAGGCAATTGCAGTGAATACCAAGGGAACGGTGAGGAACAACGGCAGCTCTGCTATGGTCTTGCCCAAGAAGTACGTGTCACATCTGTACAGACGACTTCGGGCTTCTCTCATAAATACCGGCAGCTCCGATGTGAAAACCTAAGGAGAAAATACATGAAATAAATAAATATATTTGTATGTATAAGAGGCGTAAGAGGGGGATTTGAACTCACATTGATAGTGGCGAAAACATTCTGGAAGGTCATGTTGGTGAGGAACAGGAAGATGGCCCCATTGATGTTCATTACGCCCACCTGCGTAAGCTGCTGGCCCAGAAAGATCAGGCCAATCAGGATGGCCACCATCTGTGGGGGGAATTCATATGATAGCCTTGCGGATTATTAAAATGTTGCTATATAATATTTGTTGTCCTATAGTGTAGAGTTTTGTATGTACAGACATTCCCATTAAAAACAATCGAATGTTGCCGAAAATTCAGTTAAATATTTACATATATGTATTTAAAACTGAGAAACGGACTACGCAACGATCAGGTAAATTAGCTAAGACTACCTTAAAGGTTCAAGTACCAGTAGCGGTTCGATACCCCTCTTCATCTTCAACTCCTCCTCCGCCTCCTCTTCTTACCGTTGTCTGAATGAGTCGTACTTTGACCAGCAACGGTTCCTTCAGCACGGATAGCCAGGAACGCCAGAGCACTGCCCGGAACTGCATAAACCAGGTGGCCTTGTACGTATAACCATTTTCGGGCTGCTCCAGGGGCTGCTCGAGATTCTTGGTGGCCAGCAGCTGCTCCATTCCCCGGGCCACTTTGCTGACGGCAAAGTTATCGCATATCTTGGCAATCCTCTCTCTGGACTCAGCCTCGCGGCCTGGTACAACGGCCAGGACCTGAACGTAGAAGTCCGCCGGATTGTAATTAGTCGGACACTGGGCCCCAACACTGAAAGATTAATAGATACAGAAATATACATATATTGTGGATACATCTGAAGATACATTTAATTAAACTATTGAACATAGAACTAGTTTGTAGTGGGATGGGAGCACGCTCATTTCAGCTGTCACCTAATTCACAGTGAAATTGACGGACAGACAGTAGTGGTCTGAGCCGAGGAAATGGTTGGGTAGTTGCTCCAAGCAGATGCGTGGCAGCAGGTAGTAGCTGCAAGGACGTATATTGTAGCGCGGACAGCCCTTCGAGTAGAAAATATGATCGGCATCGATCCAGCCCTGCTTCGAGTCGTAGGCGGACACCTGCTTGGTGGTAGTGGTGTAGACGGGCACCAACTGCTTGGAACAGGCTGAATAGACGGTGGGCGTCGTCAGGGTGCGGAAGGGTTTGGTGCCGCTCGAAAAGTTGAAGTCTCCTCCGAGGATGATTGGAATGCAGTTGCCGTTCTCGTGGTCACGGCTATATTGGAGTAGTTCGCTGCGCAGACGTTGCACAATGTCTGGGCGCCCATCCGTACCCAGGGGACTGCCCTGCAGTAGATGGGCACTGCACACGATCAGCTGCTTGGGAGTACCGGTCAGGTTGAACTTTCCCATGAGGGCAAAGCGATCGAAGTCCTCACGCTTGTTGGGCTCCTGGACTTGGCGCCCCAAGGCCCGATGGCCGATCAGCTCGAGCTTTATCATATCGTAGATGATGGCTATACCATCGGATTCACTCTCCAACTTTTGCTGGAATATGTAATTGTAGCTCCGCATGGTGGTCGCCTTGAAGCGTCGCATGATCTGCGGCAGATGACTGCACTGGACCTCCTGCAGACAGAGGATGTCCGGATTGAGGACTTGCACCTCTTGCGTGAGCTTGTTCAGACGATTTCCCCAATTCAGATGCTGCTCTTCGAAGCCCCCATAGTGCGACTTGTGCTTCACTACCATATCCGGGGCCAACAGATTGTATGTCATCAGGCGGTAGACAACATTCGAGTAGTGGGGAGTCTCCACTACTTGCCAGCAGCGGCTCAGGTCGTAGCAGACCGCACCCATAAATCTTCCTTTTATGGAGTTCTCCATTTCTTTTTTCTGTACTGTATAAAATGTGTTTGGCATTTCATGCTTTTTTGACGTCTGACAGTTTATGTCTAGCGGTATGCCCATCAAATATCATCGGTTGCTTTTCCAGTATTAATCGGAGTTTGCTTTTTCCGGATCTGAGTACTCGTCTGCGAAATATTTTGTTGATCAAAATGCATTTGAATCATTTCTATGGCCGCTAGAACTGAGATTAAAGTTTGGTTCTTGTTTTGGGTCTTTTGATGAATGGGCAGGGGGTGGGGGTACGGTACACTAGGGCGCGGGAAATAAAATAAAAGCTGTTATATGTTTGATTTGTTTTAGAAAATATTACAATAATATAATTTATACAAATATAATAACAATATATTACAATAACTAATTTATAACATTTATTTCCATATTTTAAACAGGTTGATTATAATGACGACGCGTCAGTACCCGAACGCCAGAGCCGAGGTCTCTGGGGTATTCAAACTGGTAACCCATCGTGTGGCGCTTTCTAGCATGAACGGGCACATCTATATACTGTGTGGTTAGTGGTTTCATCCATGGTTTCATATATGTATTAATTTATGCATTTATTTATTAACAACGATAATGATCCCGGAAATACGCTATGCTCCATCCCATTGTGCATTACGGTCCTGCCTACCAATAGTCTGTCCGAAATCTGTCTGGCCCTTGAAATCCAAAACAACTCAAAATCAGTTTAGGGCATCCCCAGTATGTTGGAGATCTTAAGAGCAGTCCTCACAATTGTAGTGGATGTCTTAGTCTTTAATTCATGAATATATCCTGTCTTAACAAAATCTAAATTAACGTTCATATATACATATACATAGGATGTACTCAATTCAAAAACAAAGGTCAGAATGTCACTAATGTACTGGGAAACAGCCATCTGATGTGGTTCACTTGCATGAGCTCTTAATTAAATGTTTTCACACCCATTCGCTTGTGTTATTTGATGGGTTTCATTCGATGTATCATTTAGATTTATGTGACAAGCAGAAAGAAGAACTTCCTATTCTTATAAGTTCTTTATTGTGTTTTTTTTTATTGGTTTGGAAAGGCTCCCACAGCCGAATACGTTCTGTGCGGTAACCAAGCTCGCTGCTGCAGATAGTGCTCATGCTCATAGTTCGCCTTGAGTCCGCAGTGAAAGATGGCATGATTGAACACACTAAATAGGACCTTGGCTAGAGCCAATCTGCACTCTTCAAAATCACCATTCCGATAGGGAACGCATAAGGGAGTCAGCAACAGGTAGTCAATAATCATTGCATGCCTCTCCGGATCATTGTCAACCGATATATGGACTACAAGGTTATCCCCCACAATCGGCACCGACTGGTCGTTGATTGCTATTGGCTATTGGGCTGTGGTGATATGAGACGCGCCTCCGTTTGCGACCCCGCCTCATATTACAGGACTGATAGCAAGACTATCCTTGTAAAATATACACCATATGGTATACCATGAAAAGAAGGGGATTGAAAATGATTGAACAACATACATCTGCGCTCCAAAATAGTAGATTATCTGAGTAATAGTTGCTCTTTATAAGAATCGTACACAAATTCGTAGTTCGTGGCATTTTATTGATACGAGTGTAATACGTTTGATTGAGTTTCAAGATGTTTCAGTTATAATAATTGAACAATCGAAGCATGTACGTAATGAGTATTATTTAATTATTAAGCTGCTGTTGTTGGGTAGATACGCCAGGGCATTTCCAAATGATGTAGAATCGATACTGTTTCCTTTGAAAGTATATTTTCGGATCCTCCGACTCCAGCAGAGTGGCACATTGTGGATGAGCAAAGAAGGCCAGATGCTGATGAAAAAACATTTATATTGCATAGATCCCTTTCAAGTTATTTCATTAGCCACTTACCAATCTGGAATGGCGAATTGAGGATGACTTCTATTTTTTGTAATATTTCTAAACAAATTTTGTGGATGTGGTGCCTAGGGGTGGAGCAGTACTTTTTCAGCTTTCTACTGGAGTTTCTTGAAGACGTGTTTAGCTTGCAGACCAGCCCACATGGCAATGAGAAGAGTAACCAAGTACATCAACAGAAGATTGTTAACGATTGAACCAATCCAAGCCATGGCCAGGAGGACCAAGCTTTTCACAATCACGAGGCCGGTCGATTTACGTTCCTTGAATAGATACTGGTACCATGCTGCCAAGCTTTCCTTGATGATGTACATCTGTCCGCAAACAGACTCGAATTTCGCGTCGTTGTCGATATTCCAAAACAAGCCGGCCATTTTGGTTGAGAAAAAGTCCAAAATGAAATCCGGCGGATCCAGGCACCACAGAAGAAAATAGTGCGAAATGGTAGTCAGCAATGCCAGGAGAGACATAAGAGTTATCACCGATAGATCCATGTACCAGAGAACGAAATAAGCGACGCTTATGCCCCCCAATACCACCACGGGGTAGTATTTTTTCTCCCAGGTAAGGACACCATAGGCAGTCACTATAGGCGCTTGAAATCGCTCCAAATCATGCTTAAGCTTGATCACCATTTCGTTATTACCAATGTCCGATGCTGTCATCTCTGTGCTTCGTTGCGTATCGAGTTCAATTGGAGTTTTCAACATAGTCTCTGCCTTTAATTTAAGCAAAAAGTCGCTTTTTTTTTATTGCTAGCCAACGTCAATGCATCAAATGAGAGGTGGCAACGTCAAACCATCGAAGGTACTATCGATAGTTTCGATGTTTACCTGCAAGCCGGTTTCATCACTAGCCATACAGTATATAGATGTGCCCGTTCATGCTAGAAAGCGTCACGCGATGGTTTACCAGTTCGAATACCCCAGAGACCTCGGCTCTGGCGTTCGGGTACTGACGCGTCATCATGAGAAAGCGCAGAGAGAACATCTTTGCATGTGTTAGAACACCGCAATATGCTTCGACAAAAATATGTGTTTGCATGCTTTTTTCGTGTGTGTGTCTAGTATTGCTGGCCGCTAGAACTGAAATTAAAGTTTGGTTCTTGTTTTGGGTCTTTTGATGAACGGACCTACTATTTGATTTGAATTACATTTTATTAATTTATAATTTATTAATAATTTATATTATATTAATTTATATAAATATAATAATAATATATCGCAATAACTAATTTTTAACATTTATTTTCTTATTTTAAATTATAAAAATTATGTAAACGCCGTCGGTTCTTGACTTCTTAGTTTATTATAACTAAAATAATGATGTATCTAAATAAACGATATAAGAAAAAATATATCTATATACTAAAATAAATATGCATAAATATAAATGGAATTTGTGTTACATATATTTCAAATCAATTGTCAATAGCGCGCTTTCCGACGGGAATGTGCAAAGCAAAAATGTAGATGCGTGTCGCACCATGACTACTCTCATGGACAATACCCAAACATTTTCTAATTAAATTATGTAACATCTTATGCACATACGTATGTACATAGCTATGTCAGATTATTACATTCGTATATTGCATGAGGGTATTTAAAATAACTGTTGTATTCTTTAAGAAGTGTTAGTATCCTAAAATACTCTAAATCAAAGAAACGAACCAGAACAAAATTCAAATTAAGTGCATGCCTTTGTCACAAGATTTCGAGACTTGGTATATCCATCATACTCGCATACATACATACATTACATCCAGTTGCACGCCATGTTTCCAAGCTAATAATGTTGAGTTTGCCACGTGTGGTGAACTTTAAGGTCTGTGGTGTGTTTAAGACTGCCAGACTCTACTCCTTGCGTCTGGCCCTGAGTCTCAGTGCCAGATAAGCCAATACCCTAAAGCTAACAATTAAGATGCCCAGTCCCAAGTAATCCAGGGGCAAATCCTCAGCCGAGAAGTTTAGGGTCTCTAGGATGACCTTGCCGGAGCTGGGGCACGTCGTGTTCGAGGAGGTGCAACTGATTTCACCTGCCTCCACATCCGCCCACTGGTTGATGAGCAGCCCCTCGTTGGCGTACCGGAACCAGGACAGATACGACAGCCACTTCAGATAGACGGGCACCGACCCGGAATTCAAAAAGAACCCACCGAACAGCAGGAACGGGATAATGACGGGTGGGCCCACCGACAGGGCCATCGAGGTGGAGGAGCTGGCACAGGATATCAGATATCCGAACGATGTCGACACATTGGCCACCAATGTCACCAGTGCCAGGCAGTTGAAGAAGTGCATCACACCCGGCCTGAGTCCAATCATTGGATAGGCAATTGCAGTGAATACCAAGGGAACGGTGAGGAACAACGGCAGCTCTGCTATGGTCTTGCCCAAGAAGTACGTGTCACATCTGTACAGACGACTTCGGGCTTCTCTCATAAATACCGGCAGCTCCGATGTGAAAACCTAAGGAGAAAATACATGAAATAAATAAATATATTTGTATGTATAAGAGGCGTAAGAGGGGGATTTGAACTCACATTGATAGTGGCGAAAACATTCTGGAAGGTCATGTTGGTGAGGAACAGGAAGATGGCCCCATTGATGTTCATTACGCCCACCTGCGTAAGCTGCTGGCCCAGAAAGATCAGGCCAATCAGGATGGCCACCATCTGTGGGGGGAATTCATATGATAGCCTTGCGGATTATTAAAATGTTGCTATATAATATTTGTTGTCCTATAGTGTAGAGTTTTGTATGTACAGACATTCCCATTAAAAACAATCGAATGTTGCCGAAAATTCAGTTAAATATTTACATATATGTATTTAAAACTGAGAAACGGACTACGCAACGATCAGGTAAATTAGCTAAGACTACCTTAAAGGTTCAAGTACCAGTAGCGGTTCGATACCCCTCTTCATCTTCAACTCCTCCTCCGCCTCCTCTTCTTACCGTTGTCTGAATGAGTCGTACTTTGACCAGCAACGGTTCCTTCAGCACGGATAGCCAGGAACGCCAGAGCACTGCCCGGAACTGCATAAACCAGGTGGCCTTGTACGTATAACCATTTTCGGGCTGCTCCAGGGGCTGCTCGAGATTCTTGGTGGCCAGCAGCTGCTCCATTCCCCGGGCCACTTTGCTGACGGCAAAGTTATCGCATATCTTGGCAATCCTCTCTCTGGACTCAGCCTCGCGGCCTGGTACAACGGCCAGGACCTGAACGTAGAAGTCCGCCGGATTGTAATTAGTCGGACACTGGGCCCCAACACTGAAAGATTAATAGATACAGAAATATACATATATTGTGGATACATCTGAAGATACATTTAATTAAACTATTGAACATAGAACTAGTTTGTAGTGGGATGGGAGCACGCTCATTTCAGCTGTCACCTAATTCACAGTGAAATTGACGGACAGACAATAGTGGTCTGAGCCGAGGAAATGGTTGGGTAGTTGCTCCAAGCAGATGCGTGGCAGCAGGTAGTAGCTGCAAGGACGTATATTGTAGCGCGGACAGCCCTTCGAGTAGAAAATATGATCGGCATCGATCCAGCCCTGCTTCGAGTCGTAGGCGGACACCTGCTTGGTGGTAGTGGTGTAGACGGGCACCAACTGCTTGGAACAGGCTGAATAGACGGTGGGCGTCGTCAGGGTGCGGAAGGGTTTGGTGCCGCTCGAAAAGTTGAAGTCTCCTCCGAGGATGATTGGAATGCAGTTGCCGTTCTCGTGGTCACGGCTATATTGGAGTAGTTCGCTGCGCAGACGTTGCACAATGTCTGGGCGCCCATCCGTACCCAGGGGACTGCCCTGCAGTAGATGGGCACTGCACACGATCAGCTGCTTGGGAGTACCGGTCAGGTTGAACTTTCCCATGAGGGCAAAGCGATCGAAGTCCTCACGCTTGTTGGGCTCCTGGACTTGGCGCCCCAAGGCCCGATGGCCGATCAGCTCGAGCTTTATCATATCGTAGATGATGGCTATACCATCGGATTCACTCTCCAACTTTTGCTGGAATATGTAATTGTAGCTCCGCATGGTGGTCGCCTTGAAGCGTCGCATGATCTGCGGCAGATGACTGCACTGGACCTCCTGCAGACAGAGGATGTCCGGATTGAGGACTTGCACCTCTTGCGTGAGCTTGTTCAGACGATTTCCCCAATTCAGATGCTGCTCTTCGAAGCCCCCATAGTGCGACTTGTGCTTCACTACCATATCCGGGGCCAACAGATTGTATGTCATCAGGCGGTAGACAACATTCGAGTAGTGGGGAGTCTCCACTACTTGCCAGCAGCGGCTCAGGTCGTAGCAGACCGCACCCATAAATCTTCCTTTTATGGAGTTCTCCATTTCTTTTTTCTGTACTGTATAAAATGTGTTTGGCATTTCATGCTTTTTTGACGTCTGACAGTTTATGTCTAGCGGTATGCCCATCAAATATCATCGGTTGCTTTTCCAGTATTAATCGGAGTTTGCTTTTTCCGGATCTGAGTACTCGTCTGCGAAATATTTTGTTGATCAAAATGCATTTGAATCATTTCTATGGCCGCTAGAACTGAGATTAAAGTTTGGTTTTTGTTTTGGGTCTTTTGATGAATGGGCAGGGGGTGGGGGTACGGTACACTAGGGCGCGGGAAATAAAATAAAAGCTGTTATATGTTTGATTTGTTTTAGAAAATATTACAATAATATAATTTATACAAATATAATAACAATATATTACAATAACTAATTTATAACATTTATTTCCATATTTTAAACAGGTTGATTATAATGACGACGCGTCAGTACCCGAACGCCAGAGCCGAGGTCTCTGGGGTATTCAAACTGGTAACCCATCGTGTGGCGCTTTCTAGCATGAACGGGCACATCTATATACTGTGTGGTTAGTGGTTTCATCCATGGTTTCATATATGTATTAATTTATGCATTTATTTATTAACAACGATAATGATCCCGGAAATACGCTATGCTCCATCCCATTGTGCATTACGGTCCTGCCTACCAATAGTCTGTCCGAAATCTGTCTGGCCCTTGAAATCCAAAACAACTCAAAATCAGTTTAGGGCATCCCCAGTATGTTGGAGATCTTAAGAGCAGTCCTCACAATTGTAGTGGATGTCTTAGTCTTTAATTCATGAATATATCCTGTCTTAACAAAATCTAAATTAACGTTCATATATACATATACATAGGATGTACTCAATTCAAAAACAAAGGTCAGAATGTCACTAATGTACTGGGAAACAGCCATCTGATGTGGTTCACTTGCATGAGCTCTTAATTAAATGTTTTCACACCCATTTGCTTGTGTTATTTGATGGGTTTCATTCGATGTATCATTTAGATTTATGTGACAAGCAGAAAGAAGAACTTCCTATTCTTATAAGTTCTTTATTGTGTTTTTTTTATTGGTTTGGAAAGGCTCCCACAGCCGAATACGTTCTGTGCGGTAACCAAGCTCGCTGCTGCAGATAGTGCTCATGCTCATAGTTCGCCTTGAGTCCGCAGTGAAAGATGGCATGATTGAACACACTAAATAGGACCTTGGCTAGAGCCAATCTGCACTCTTCAAAATCACCATTCCGATAGGGAACGCATAAGGGAGTCAGCAACAGGTAGTCAATAATCATTGCATGCCTCTCCGGATCATTGTCAACCGATATATGGACTACAAGGTTATCCCCCACAATCGCCACCGACTGGTCGTTGATTGCTATTGGCTATTGGGCTGTGGTGATATGAGACGCGCCTCCGTTTGCGACCCAGCCATTAAGGCTCCGTGGGTCTCAGGTCCAGTCTATAATCATCAGTGTCTTCCCCATACGACAACGACGAGAGGGTCCCCACCGACTGGTCTACGAAATATATCCATCTATATATTATGAATAGAGGAAGCCTACCACGACGCCATTCTCGGCATTGATCCATATGAGGACTTGTCGTATCCAAATTCATATTGAAACATACACATTTCACCATATCAAACGAACACTCTCCAATACATTTTAACACCAACAACATCTTTGCTCGCATTGACCCTCTCTCAAGTTCCTGTCAACAACTGAAACATCCTTGGCCGGCTTTGGAGAAACGATAAGCCTTAAATTTTTCAAAGTAAAGGATGCCGATTGGAACAGTTGTCAAAACTTAATCGCTGACATACATTAGTACTAAATAAACCCAAGCCATCAAATTAACATCAAGAAAATAATAACCCACAGAATGTAGCTCTCAAATATATTACACGACCGAATAATTTAATTACAATTAACTTTTACAATTAAATTTTAGACAACCATAGACATAGACAACATTGACAAAACAACAAAAACACAGGCATCGAATATCACAAAACAAATTTTCAAAAATAATAACCTAATCTAAATAATTAACATCAATATTTAATTTAGAACCAGCAACACAATTAAATATCTACGAAAAACCAAAGAATACAAACACTTTACTATATTAAACCTCAAAGAAATATTATATTATACTTGAAATTTAATATTATACCTAAGAAGTATGGACAAAAGATTAAAATCGAACACAAATCCTTTATTATTATGGGAAACTTATTGAACAACATTTTTTCCATTTCAAGTGGATTGTTTCTTTAATACAAATTTTTAATAGCAAATAATTAGACGAAACCGCCGACGAAGGCAGGCAGGAAGGGCTCCTTTTTATCGCTGGGTGTATTTAGAAAGTATTTAGAAGACCCTTGCGGAGAGCTCTAACATCTCTCTATATATATTAAGTAAAATGTTTCCAGAATTTCTGCAGATATCCAGCCACAGAGTTCTTTGCTGTGAAGTTGAATATGATCCCAAAATGTAGTCCGTTCTTTCTTTCTGCAAACTCTGTGTATGTACATACGAGTATGTATCCCTGATAAGGCAACTGTACGCACTGTTTTCTCGGTATTTTTTGTGTATTATTATCCTCTTGTTTTAAAATGATTTTCGACGTGTATAAATTACGTGTTGGGGCCGCTGCTCATTAGCCGCCTGTCCAGTTAGCTCATTTGCCTGGCCATTAACCGGCTTCAACTCCAGCTGCAGTTGAACCCTGGCTCCTCCCTCTTCTGCCTTCTGCCGCATGCCTCTTGCCCCAACTGGCTCCACTTTGACCCGTAACCCCTGGCTAACCCAAAAACTTTTGCCACTTGCTGGCCATTGTTGTCGTTTTAAAAATCTGAGCACCAGGAAAAGAGTGCGATGCGATGGGGAAAAACTACAGCAATTAAACACAGGGCGTGCGAAAACTTTAAGGCTCTTTCGGGCGTGGCTAGGTGTGGTGCCGTGGGGGGTAAAAAGAGGTAACGGCGAAGTAAGGGTGAGGGTGAGGGTGAGGGTGAGTTGACCAACAACCGTCGAACTTCGTTGGCGGCGACAATCAATTTACCTGACGCCAGTCGAGGGGTTATGTTCCCCCAGAGGTGGTGCAGGAGGAGGAGGAGGAGGAGTCATTGTAAAGTGGTGGTGTGGGGAGGAGGCTCTGGGGACATTGGCATTGGAACAGCGGCATTGGGGGTCTCCCCGTCGTCTGATAAATGAGAAAAGTTTTTAACACCGCTCGCTCAGGTCGACTCATTGGCATTTTTACGATGTCGAGATGAGAAAAGAGGGCTATAAAGAGAGACGGAGACAGAGACTGGGGGAGCTACAGAGACAGAGAGAGAGAGATAGGCAATAGAGAATGAAAGAGATGCAAGGAGAATGAGCCGGAGTGGGTCCAGAGGACAAATAGGCTACAAATGAGACGAGCCTTGGTCTGCTTAATAGAAAAACTGAAGCGTATGGGATCCAAACAGGTCCGCAGATGGGCGAGCGGACGAACGGATGGACAGGAGGGGGGAAGTTCGGTTGAGGGTGGTAAAGGTGGTCGATCGCTGGAGTCCTGGTGGTGGCTGGTCGAGCGGGGCACTTAAAACTTTTTAGCATGCAACCGCGAAACGTTGCAGCTGGCAAACTTTTTGGCGGTACGAAAAAAAACCAACGCTCGCGGCTTGGAGTAAGGGCCCGGTGCTGGTGTTGGTCATGACCATGGCCTGTCAGCAATTAAAAGTGAAGGACAGAGCGTTCAGAGAGAGATCGAATGGATCGATGCTCTTTTATTAGATAAATATAGGTTTAGCAATGGTATTGTATGGAACAATATTAAAGGGAATACGTGCTCTAGAAACAGAACTCACTAAATGGATGCCTCAGGAAGTCCCAGTAATACAATCGTAAATGATTGTGCTGGGGATTATCCAGAATGCCGTCTTTGCAAATAGCAAAGTGAATTCTAACTCAATATAATAGCTGTTACTATACAATATAATGCTGTTGTGTTTGAAATTAGAAATAATATAAAGAGTTGCCATTCCGTCCTTTGAAATATGTGTATCCTTCGGATAAATTACTATTGGCAAAATTATTTGTTCACCTGCCTAGGAGTCAATGACAGCCAAAGACAGCAAACATTATGGAGCTTCCGGTCCTGTTGTGACCACAATTTTCACTGAGAGTGGCTCACCGCGAAAACCGCACAGTGAGAGTATTTTCTGTGAGATGCTGGCATAAAGGTCCCTCTCACCTCAGTACGTGCATGCATGCATATGTATGTGCCTCTCTATAGGGTATAGGGTCCTGGACAACTGTCGACAAGCGCCACAGGGCTGTCGCTGAGTGAGTCCAGCAGCGGTGCGTGTGGTGCATCTCCAACATGGACCCGGCAGCAACAGCATCAATACCCAAAAAGTGGTAAAAAAAAAATAGAATAAAATAATATAGAGGGTTGTACAAAAAGGAAAAATAGACGGCGTCTGACTCTTGACCGCGGGCGCAATTTTTGTTGTCCATTTGCGGGGCACAAAAAGGCGTTACAAAAAACGTGACCAAAACTTTTTTCGGCAGGGAATGCGGCGGGGAATTCCAGTCCTCGTACTCTCAGTCGTAGTGCTACGGGTACGGGCACGAGCACTGCGGTCTTTTACGGCGGGTTTTGTGTCTGCGCTCGTGGCGGCGCTAACAAATTTCAATAAATTACAGTTACATTTGCCAAAGTCAGGCGGAGTGCGCCTGGAGGTCAACACCACCCACCGCCCACCGCCCACCGCCAGCCGTCTAATGGCTCCGCTCCCAACTCTCTATCTCTATCTGCCTCCACTTACGTTTCCATCGTAGAACGCCACGTTACGCCACACGTCCTTTGTGTCTCCTTTGCTCCGTCCGTGGGCGACTGCATAATTCAATTTGTGTTAAAGTTTTGCGAGTGCGTGGCTTGGCGTGGCGTGGCGTGGGGCAGCGTAGCGCCTCCATGCCCCAATGGGCTCCTACTTGGCTCCTGCTCATCCTCCAGCTTTAGTGCCATCTCGTCCTGCAAGAAGCACCGCCGCAGTCATTGCCAACGACTCTACTAATGCGGCACATTATTCAAGCCAAATGCCAGAAAAGGATGAAATGAGGGAAGACCGGCGTGCCAGCAGTTGGAGGGGAGCAAGTGGGCCCATCCGGAAGTTGGGCAGGATATTTGGCATGACCGTGTCGGCGCGGGGACCATCCTCCCGGTCACGGGTCAGGCGGGCCAGACGATGGCTGAACTGTGATAGGGAAAGCGCAGTGATTGCAGACGGAAACCGTGATTGTAATTGGGATTGGAATGCAACACTGTGATTTCGCCGTGTGAGTGGGGTTCGCTGGGAGACAAAGCCCCAGCCACAGCCACAGCCACAGCCACCTTCGAATGCAATGCGTGGAGCGAAAATGCAGTGTTTACTCGGTCACGATTTCCCAGTGCATTTATTAAATGAAAAACAGCATTAATTTATGATACTTACAAGCGAAAGCACAAAAACATCGATTCAATGAGGAAACTATATCGATTACTATCAAAACAGCAGCCCTGCATCCAGTGTTGCCACACTGGCATTGTGTTTCTGGCGTTTCTGGCATTGTGAAATTGTGCAAATTTTAAAAATTGTAAAAAGCTTGCGAAAACGAAACATTACCATAATGAAATATTCAAAAAAGAATGTCCCATCCAATAAAAAAAGGGGTGAAAAGGAAAAACCAAAGGTGGAGGATATAAATAATGCGATCAATCTAGAAGTAAGTTTATATCCCTTTATATACGTATAATTCAATCGTTCTTCCGCAGAATGGTGACCAGCTGTCTGCTAACTCTTCGTCGGAGTATTCCCACGTTTTCAATAATATTCAAGCCGCTATAGAACTAAAGAAACCAGATGCAATTAAAGAAGAAAGCAGCAATGGCATCTCTGGCGATTGTGCGGCTCGTAGTTCTAAGCTGGCCACAGAACCCGTAGAGCCCATTGCGTCCAGTAAACGGATTGAAATGTATACAAATTTCAAAGACTTCTACGAGGGCGATGCCATCGTAATTCGTACCGAGGGCGAAAGCTTTCACTTTGACGCCATTGTGGACGAAGAGATTTTTCTGGGATATGAACAGGCCTTCCGAGGCACTAAGAAAATCGTTGACACTGTTGCCAGCAATCATAAATTTGAGATATTCCTGATGCTGTATCCTATGCTGACCATTGGCTACCTGAAAATGGTTTTGGGAGAGAGATTGGAGCGGGCCACGTCCTTCCTGGAGGAGGGCGCCACGTACTTGGACAAGTCGTACAGCCAGCGCATCGAAAAGCTCAAGCTGATTCGCACCCCAGAAGACCTGCCGGAAAGGGCCCTGGAGCTGCTGGCTAGTGCCGACACCGTGGAGATCGTAATGGCCTATCCGACCTACTATCTGTACATAACTTGCGTGGCGAAGTGGACGCGTGGGCAGCAGGAGAAGCTGCTCGGCCATTTTGCCATTCGCAGCTACACCGACGAGGACCCGTTAGAGGAGTGGACACAGAGTGGACACAGCTGCCTCAGCTGGAGCCCCTTGTCGACAGTTCGGTTGACTTGCCGCACCATTGGCCACTGGATCGGGACGCTAGGCCCACGATCTTCACGTACGCACCTGTGGAGAGTGATGCGGAAATTCTCTGTTGCACCCCTTCGGAGGACCTGTCTATGGTGGCACTTGGCTTGAGCAACCACTTTATCCGTGTAGCCGTGGGCATGGATAAGATTGGACTGCTGGACAAGCTGGACTCCATCATCCGCAAGGGGGAGATCATGCTCGGCGGCCACAAGGGGCCGGTTTTGTCCCTTGCCTTTTCCCACAAGGACCGCTTCCTGCTCAGCTGCTCGCTGGACTCAACGATGCGGCTGTGGTGCGTGACCTCCTGGACCTGTGCCTCCGTCTATCGAAATCAGCTGTGCACCTTCGTGACTTTTGCCCCCCAGGGCTTCATCTTTGCCGGCACCTCGGACGACGGCATTGCACGCGTCTGGGGACGCAACACCAAGAAGCCTGCTTTCGAGCTCGCCGGCCATCTGGCCGACATGGCGGTGTGCGTGTTTCATTCCAACAGTCGGCACCTGGCCACAGGATCTGCCGACTGCACTGTGAGAGTGTGGGACATTTTCAAGGGCGTCCAGGTGCGTCTCTTCCGTGGCCATAAGAACACCATCACTGCTCTGGCATACTCAAAGTGCGGCCGTTATCTGATCTCCGGGGGCCACGACTTCCTCATAATTGTCTCGGACATGTTCAGCGGCCGGATGGTCCGCACCCTGAAATATCACACGTCCGTCATTAGATCGATTGCTGTAAACATGGAGAACAATGCGCTGGCGGTGGGGAGCGATATCGAGCTGAGCTTTTGGGACTTTCAGCTCCTCGTCAATCACTGCAGCGCCGACCTCGACCTCGACGATAAGGAGTCATCCCCAAAACCAAACCCAAAACCGAGCACCAAGGAGCTACTATACAGCTCCAGTGAGCATTTGAAGACATCGTTGCGCTGTCTTCGCTTTGTTGGCCGAAATTACGTAATGGCCGTCTGTACAGGCCCAAAGGCGGAGGAGGAGGCGGGCAAGAAGAAAGGAAATCGATAAGGGAGAAGGTTCCGATCCCATCAAAAATACGACATCGTCGAATTCCAAGTAGGATGGGTACTTTCTTAAGCACTTTTCTAAATCGGTTTTTAATTTTTTTGTAACGAATTGGACAATTTTTCAAACACACAAATTGTAAAAGTTGAAAAACCGATTTAAAAAATACTCCATAACTGTGTACTTCCATAAGATTTTGTTCTTTATCCGAACGGTCAGGAAAATGTTCACGTCTCAGCTATGATCCTTCTCCTGGCTATGTGGAATAGTGGAGCATTGATCTGATTTTCAATTGCCGCACTGTTCCTTCCACGAACTGAAGGCGGAGAAATGTTGCCAGAATTGTGGGCTGCTGGAAATCGTGTGTCGGCTATAAATCAGGCCCCGACTCTGAGGGACACTGGGTAGAGGCAACTGATTACGTGGTTCCAGGTTCGGACCCGGCCAAAACGAAACTAACGATTTCACGCTACATTTGATTCTCCAGAAGGATAGAGACTGGGACTGGTACTGGGAGTGGGAATGGGAGTGGGAATGGGAATGGTCGGGGGGGACATTGTCTGACCATGGCCCTAGCTGTTGGCCATATTACATAGTTGAGTGCATTTATTTATTTGCTTGTGTGTCAACCTGTTTGTATCCACCCTCCACCCTCCAGCCCCATCCATTCTCCTTTTGGGCATTTCAATTTGTCGGCGGCAAAATGGGAAGGGACGCGAAGGCGGAAGACCATAAGGAGGGAAGGGACCCGTCACCCGGCACACGACTGACCCCATTGATCTGGACATGAGCAAGTTCTTGATTAACTTATTATGCTCATTTGATTGCTCGATTTCATTTGCCATTTCTCCCGCCAAGGACCTCCTGCCAGAGCGAGACTGTCTCTTTCTGTCCCCCAATCTCGAAGTTTTTTTCTTTTCTTTTTTTCCAATGCATTGGTTGAAAAGTTTTTCTCTCTCCTTTTCCTCTTTTTTTCGAAAATTAAATTCTCTTTTGATGTGCCTCTGGACTCGGCTCTAGCCAAGTCGTTCATTGTAGTGGCGCTGTGTGCCAAAAATTTTCGGTCCCTAAATTCATTGTCATTGTTCACGAGATTTGATTTTAAAATTAATTTCCATTTTTTGTATTGTTCAATTGTTTAAATCCACGCAGGTACCGACTACATTTTAATTGGATTCGCTGGTTTTTTTGTTTTATTTTATTTGATTGAAATGTTTCAATTAAATATATTCATATTCAGTCATATTCGGCACGCTTTTGTATAATTTATTATTTAAATGTCAAATATATCAATTATATATGTATCTATTTTCGCTATAATTGTTTGGGATTTCCTTAACCCACACGAGGATGCAGAAGTGAATTTCCATGAGAGCTAAAATGAATGAATGAGAAACGAGGGTGTGATCAAAAAATATAACAAGGAATGGGGGGGATTCGCATATTTATTGATGCCTAAAAAGCAGGCCGCGCCTAGTTCTATTCGACCCTGATTCATTTAGCATCTAGAAGTCCCTGTAATAAAGTTCATACCTTTCTGTAGGCCCAAAACTCCATATATCCTCACTTTTTCCCAGCACCTCAAACAGGTCGCACTATTTTTGGTAAGTCTCAACAAAAATTGTTAACAACTTTATATCCCAAAAATCAACAAAATTCGGGTTTTATTTTTATTTTTAGTGGGCAGAACCGATTTAAAACTGGGCAGCCGCGATGTCAACCGCCTACTGGAATGTGTGCTGCAGTGGGTGCCGAATCCAAAACCTACCGCGATACCGCTTCAAGTGTCTGCGTTGCGCAAACTACGACTTGTGTGAGGCGTGCCATGAGAAGAAGGTGGTGACCGGAGTTGAACACAAGCCGGATCATCCGTTCCAGTGCCTGGTGGACTTGCCCACCAAGGAGCTGCTCTTCGCCGGCGAGCCCATACCGACTCTGGAGGCGGACAGCTTCACCTGTCCCGTGTGTTCCAAGCACGGACACTCGGCCGACGATCTGGTCAAGCACACAGTGAACGACCACAAGACTGACAGCACAAAGGTCATCTGTCCCCTGTGCGTGGCCGTGCACGGGTCCGACCCACACCTTTTGGACAATATCGGGACTCACATGAGCCACATTCACGGCTCGGCTGATCGTACGGTGCGCTTCGATCTGCCGGGAAACGACGAGGGCTAGCTACAAAAATCGAACCACAAATTCTATGCCCTCCACACAAATACAATAATTATACAATGTTGAAGTGTACACTGACAAACATCATACATACATATACACTAAAAATCGATCATTCGCTGACATGACATGAACTGATAAAAACACTTCTGAGATTGGTGTGGAAAATTACATATGTCCTGTCGCAACGTATGCTTCTTAATCGTTGAAATATACCGAGTAACAGAACTCTTATAAAGTGGGTGATTCATTATTCCAACACACTTATCATACCTCTATACGTAAGTACTATTCCAAATCGAATGGATAGCCGTATCGTAGTCCCTCCAATTGCAATATTTTCCTCGACTCTGACTGTGATATTTTGATCATCTGCTGCACTTATAGCAGCGTAAATCAAATACTGATTAAGTGCTATTTTTCGAGCATAAATTAATACTGAATTATTGGCCGACGACAGCGCTGAAAGAGGAAAATTGTCAACGCCGGCGTCAGCGCCCCTGTGGCTGGGGCATTGCCAATTGGTTTCGGCCAATTCTGGCCGAAGAGTCATAGTCCCCAGAAGACCACAGCGGGAAATGACGTGGTGATAGCGGGAAGAGGAAAACGCCCTGCCTGTGGTCATGGGTTGTTTGTAAGTACTGTGTTTATAATTATTTTATTTTATTCCTCTTCGAAAAAATTCCATAAATTGCTGAAATTCTTCACATTCATACAAAAGGTCAATAAATGGTGTAGTATATATTTTATATTTTTACAAATCCTAGGACATATGATATTTCTGTCTAAATTGTCTGTTCCAAAGTCGCTATGGAATTTTGTAAGGATTTTTTTAGATGAAGTCTGGAAGAAAGAACTGTTTCTTTGAATCGGCTCAAAATAATGTGCATTCTTCAAGCGATGTTTCCTCGCAAAAGATTTTCAAATTCAACAAAGAACTATAAAGGGTACATTGAAAAAATTTTGATATTTCCTAATAGGCAGGCGTCAACAAATTAAAACTTCTTAATCGACCCACTGGATTCCTGCTTATACATTTAATTTTTGGTTTTCAGGGCTTTTCTGTGCGCGTGTGTTTTTTTCTTCCGGTTTTTGATATTATTGTGTCTGATTTTGCATCGATGGGTGACGTGGTGTGGGGTTCAACGTGGCGTATGCTTATCAAATTAACGAATTACCCGCCTTTACAATGGCATTTCCCGACACTTTTCCTCCGCCGTATGCGGTTGCAATAAATGATAATCGTACCCCTCCGTACCCCTACGCCACACTTCACCCCTCTCCAGCGTCCGTCCGGTCGTCGGTCCGTCCCGCTGCAACAGTGCTGGTCACGCTTGATGGTCTCTGCGGCTGCGTTGACCAAAAGTCGTAAATTCCGTTGTTGCCATTTGCCGCAGAAAAACAGGCAGACTGTGTGGGGCAACGGCCCCACAGCGGGTAATGGTAATGGCATGGGTATGGGTGTGGGTGTGGGTGATCGGTGGGTAGGTGTGGGGTACATGCCGCAAATGCACAAAATACCCCAAGCCTCACCCTCACCCACACCCACAGGGCGACGGACGTCGACGTTCGACATAATTAAAAGCGCGCGCCGTTTACGCAATTAATGAACTCTCGCCAAATTAGGCTGCGGCAGCGCAGCAGACAAGCAAATGGCCAGAACCGGATCCGGAGCCTGGGCTGTAGCCGGAGCATACACACACACACACACACACACACAGAGAGAGAGCGAGAGCAAGGATGGTAGGGCCCTGTGGCTTTTGCGGTTGACGCGGGCGATGGCAATGGAGCAGCAAAAACCGCGCCGCTTTTTGCCGCATTGCAGGATGGAACCTTTGTTGCACAGACACTCACTGTCGTCGGAAAGAGAGTATGGTGATGGTGATGGCGATGGTGATGGTGGGATGAGAGGCTGCTGACCAGGAACCGCATTAACGGCCGCCAGTAAAACAAGGTGGACCGGCACCTAAGCATTGTTTTTTCCACTTCTCCTTCGCTCACTCTCTATAGACAGAGAAATTATACTTCAAAGGAAACATTGTCCTTGGGGTTTTTAAATTTCCAAATTACACATTACATCAAAATCGTTCAAGCGTCAATCGAATGATTACATTATACTTACGTTAATTTGTATTTACAATAAGGGGCTGCCATGCGATGGTATTCACAAACAAAATCTATTCACTTTCCCCCACCACCCCTACCCACAAAACTCTATGATATATTTGGGTTTTACTTGTATTTATTATTTGTCTCTTAGAGCTTTTAATTTGTAAAAAAAAAAAAAATCTACATGATTATCCAGCCAAATAAAAAGAGTCATTATTCGTTCATTTGAATTCCATTTTAATAATTCTTCTTAGTTTCCGTTTCGTTTGGTTTTCTTTTATCAAATTCTATCAACTTACAAATAGGCGAAAAAACATCATCTATCATTTTCTCTATATGTACTCGTATGTATGTATTTATATGTATGTATGTAAATGGTTTGCTTATGTACTCGCAGTTTTCTTCAAAATTTACAATTTTACATAACTATTAATTAAATCAAAAGGAGAGAGTAGTTGGTGGAGAAAAACAAGATCTTAAACCGATAGTTTGAAAGGGGATTTACAATTAATAAATACGAAAAAAAAACGTAGATCATAATCATAGGTAATATAAATTGTATATTGAAATGCCAGGCTTTATAGAACATAACGATTAAGTTGATTAGATTTCCTTCTTATCGGCGGGTGGCTGCTGCTCTGTCAGCGACCCGGTTGCCGTCTTGGGTGTGCTGCCGTTGGCACTGCTCGACAGGTCCATGTCACTGGCGCTATTCTGTAACGGGAGAGTCCAAAGAGGAGGAGGTATTAAGGGAGCTACTATGCTGTTAATGCTGTTCTCGAATAAGGTAAGCCTTTCCGAAACACAACTGTATGTATGTCTTGTCTTAAATATGGCTTAGTATTAGTATGGCTCTATTCACCTTGACTTCTCTGCGCAGCTTCATTGACTTGCCCATGCTCAGGAGACGGTAGCGTTCCTTGGACCTCGCGCGTATCTTTTCGGGCACCACCCACAGTGTGGTGGCCATGTTGCCAATGAATAAAAGCAGAAACAGACCGGACATGACCGACACATGCCAGGGTGCATCCGGGGGACTAAATGCCAACTTGTAGAGGGTCCATGCATTGTACGCCTGGAACCAATAGCCGATGAAGAGGAACGGCAGCAGGAAGCTCAGACCACGCCACATCCATGAGTGGAAGCCCTCGATGGTGATATCCATGTTATGGCGCTCGCCCAAGGCCTTTAGGCGATAGAGCAGACCCTTCTGGTATCCAAATTGTAGATACTGCACGATGCCTGCACGGATGGAAGAAGAGGGTGAGGTGAAGATACAGAATTGTGATAGTGCTGATGAATATCTAATCAAATCTTCGGATATGCACTCACTGATATAAACATTGAAGTACATGAACTGCATGCGGAAGATCTGCCAATGCTCGCCCTGGGGCCACACCAGCAGGACCCCGGCGGCCACCGTCGAGATGAAGTGATGGGCGCGCCACCAGCCCTTGATCCGTGATCCATTCACCTTCAGTATCGACTCGCGAATGGTCAGGGTGCAATAGTACCATACCAACAGGAAAATGAAGGCAAGCTCTAAGGCTCTGCAAATACACGGCAGATGGATGAGCAAATGGATGACAGCACTGGTGGGCACTGGGCACTGGGCACTGGGCACTGGGCACTGGGCACTGGTTTTCTCTTCAGTTTATTCCACTTACCTGTAGTTGAATATCAAATTGAAGAACGCCATTATCAGTCCAATTACGTTGAGTATTAATTTAAACTTTTCATAGTCGTCCTTGTAGCGAACTTTGTCGTTTCTGTTGAGAATCGAGACATTCACATCGCCCAAGATTATCTGCGAATAAGTAAAGTGGATAAGTCTGTGGCTCAACTCCTGGCTGGTGGTCAACTTCAACTTGGACCCAACTCCACTCTCCAGTCGAGTCGAGTCGCCTCCAAAGTCGTGTCCGAGTCAAGTTCATAACAAGTCGCGCGCAAATTGTCGCGCAGGAAGCAACTTTTCTTTTAACGTTTCCTTTTTGTTGCTGTTACTTTTGTTTGTTAGTTTTTTCAGATGGAAAGTTTTCCTTTGGGACCATGATTGTGAATGGGCACGCGCTTGCGGTGTAGGGGCGGGGTGTGGGGTGTGGGGTGTTTGGCACTTGGGCACTCACCTGCAAATAGCGACCCGATTTCGCTGGCAAAGATTGTTCGATTTCGTGCAATTGCGCTTTCCGCTTCAAGGTCATCTTCTGCAACTCATCAACCTTCTCTTTAACTTCGACATCCACCGGACCCTTAAATCTGCAATTAAGAGAAAAGGGGATTATAAAAAAACATTTATTGAGATCCTGAGAAGGAATCATTCATTCGGAATTCTCGATCGCAGACAGCCACTATTATACAATGGCCAAGATGTTGCATGAGGCACCCAAAATCTGTTCTATGGCGGGGTTTTTCGTATGTTTCGGGGTTTCAATTCCCCTTCCCAATTCGGTCCCCAGAATCCAATAACAAAGTACACAGTCTCTGGCGGGGGGCACAAAAGACTTACTTTCCGGTCAAAAAACTCCAACAACAACAAAAAAACACAGTCCTTCGCGTAGTAGTCGGTACCAAGAAAGCAAAAACGTGGCTTGGGAATGGCTTGGTACCAGTACACCGCGCGAGTCATCGAAGGAAAATTGCGAATGGAATTTGTTGGTATGCTGGTGCAATAACTTTGTATTTTATGGTATTTGCTAGTATACTAGTATACAGTGAACATTTTATAGATAATCCAAGCGAGCTTCAAGAGAATTCTGCACACATTGATTGGGCTACAATGATATCTTATCTTTGCGAAGATAATCATCCAACAATTCTTGCATAATTCCCATCATAAAGTGATCATTAACGTAGCTAAAAAAGGAACGATACGTAAAGCTGTCTTTGTCCTTGAGGAACGTTCAAGGGGTGGACACATTTTGATCAGTTTCGGGTCTTACATTCCCTTCATTTAGTACCATTTTAGATAATAAATCGAAGAGAACAGTTTTGGCAATACAATACATATTGGTAGTCGGTAGGTAGCTCCCCATAAATTAACATAAAACCATCGCACAACCATTGGCTCTGGACTTTGGCCAATATGTAGGTCTCGTCGAAGAGGAGGCAGTACTTTCCGGCAGTCGCCAGTACTTATTTATGTTTATTGTTTTATTGATTGAGTGTACATGTGTACAATACACGACTGTTCGTTTGTTCGTTCGAATGCATGATTTGCTTTCCTTGTAAATAATTCGAGTATAATTATTTGTTCACATCATTGATAGGGCGAAAATGGGAGAGAGGCAAGTGGTCGGTCGGTCCGGTCCGGTCCAGTCCGGCCGGACCGTCTGTCCACCTACCCGACCAGAGCAATTTCCAGCGTCAAAGTTCAATTTAGATATACATAATTGATAACCAAAGTGGGCGGTGGGGGGTGGGTTCTACAGGTCTCTGTGTATGTTTTCTGATCAATTGACAGTGCGACCCATGCATGTAGGCTAGCTGTATGTACATACATATGTATATGCATGTATGTGCCATATAGCACCATCTATATGGCGCTTCAAAGGTAGATTTATGGCACTGAAGCGGTCGTTCGACTGAATATGTCCCGTTTCGTGCTCGGGTTCGGGTTCTTGGGTTCGTGGGTTCGGCTGTGGGTTCTCGGGTTCAGTTCGATTTATCAATCGCTTGTATAATTCATGTTTTATTTTTAAACACCCTCTAATACCCCTCTAACACCCACAGATAACGACCCCATATATGTATATACATAGATGTGTACGCCTGAACACAACTGGAATCGAATCTAAAGAGATATCGGGCGTATGGTATGACCGCCCCATAGCCCACAACCCACAAAAGTGCCGACTCAATGGCCTGATTATATTAGTTTCCGCTCGATTTGCTTATGAGCCAACTCTTTCTTTCTTTCAGTTGTTCTTTTTCTCTACATATTGATGGAATTGTTTACTTGTCTAATCTGATTGTGGAAAATTTCCATAAAAAGAAAACCACTTTAACATAATTGATAGAATCGTTTTCGATTCCTTATATGGTAGACTACCCATATGCTTATGTAAGCTCATATTTCTTGTGGCTTGAAAACTATCAAAATCTTCCTCTTAATTTTCTATTTCTGCATAATCGCAATCAAAATTCGAAACCCCTTCGAGATCTACAAATCAATTAGTACACTTTCTCAATCCATTGAAATTGCACACGAAACGCGCGTGCCCTCCACAGACACAGAAAATAAACACCCTTTGAGTGGTTGGGGGGTTGGGGGGCTAATGTTGAGGTTTGGATGCATTTATACTCGGAAAAATCTTCAGAGGCTCTTGCCGCTAGCCAAAAGCAAACAAACAAGTAAACAAACACTGGGATGACGGGCTTCGCACGCGTTTCCCTCGAATCGCTGGCGGGACGCCCGTTCTCCATGACTCAATTAAAATTCATTTGCTAGGAATGGAGGATGGAAGGGGTTTTCCAAGGCACCCAAGCGCATTATTCGGACGACGACTCGCAAGGCGGTTCGGGGCGGACTGGACTGTGGAGTGGACTGAACTGAACTGGGCAGCAGGGAAAATGGTAGTCATTTGATTTGTTTTTTAGCTTCTGCTGCTACCCGATTTTTGCATAATTTTTGTGTGAGTTGTGGCTGCCGGGAATGCGTTCAGGAGGTCAAAACGTTTGCAACGTGACGTGGAACACGCGACTGGGAACATCGACAAAACAAGGCAATTAAACGCGCGAGAGTCAAGACGCGCGCGATAAGCCATTTATATAAATCCACAAAAGCGTCGGACGATTGTAAGCCCCTACAGAATCTGATATTTCATCATTATCCTACAATGATTGTATGTATTTATATACCTACATATGTACATATGTATATTTATACCCTTCATCGCGCTCAGTCCCGCAGAGAGGAAAGTGTCTCGGTAGGCGGGAGCGTTTTAAAGCGCCAGAGCGCCAGAGCGCCAGAGCGCTTTCGAGACAGTCCAAACAAATACAAATAAAAACGCGTCGAAGGGGCGACGGAAAAAAACGCAAGCAATAACAATGCGATGTACAGTGGGTCAAAGGGCATTCAAGCGGCAACAATTTGCATGCGCTTCAAGGTCGGATGAGCAAATAAATCATTCTGCACCCTGGCTACGGTTCAATAAACCCAACTCCTTCCTTGAGGTAGAACCCAAATCAAATTCTATTTTAATTAGCCACAAATGGAAAATAATCAACAAAGAATATAGTAAAATTAGGCTGAATCCATACTTTCCACTGCTTTTTAATACTTTATTAGTTGTAGTTTTTCCGAAGTTATTCAAGATGGAAAAATTATTGGTTCGTAGTAATACATTTTCTTCTTAATTATTTTTTATTTTTTGTTTTCTTTTTTGTTTACAAAGATTTCTGCAATTGTGCAATTCCCTTTTATAAATTTCTCTAAACGGGGAAATCCATACGGCTATTGCCATTCACATTTGGAAAGCTAACATTTTTTAAGATTCAAATTTTACGAATAATTGTATGGTTTAATTGGTACTGGAATTGTGTATCTTTGGCATTTCTCTCCACGGAAAAACTGCTTGGTCACACTGTGCCACACACCCAATGGCAGCTTTTGCTTGCCTTGCGTGTTGTGCTTTTGTATGACTATGTCTGTGGCTGTGTGTGTGTGTGTCTGTGATTTCGTCTTGGCTGGACAGAGGTCAAGGGCAGCTGGTTTGGTCGGTCAATCAGCTGCTTTGCTGGCCAGTTTTTGGTTCGAGTAAATACCTCGCTGCTCTCCTCCACATGCGCCTTGTCAGCAAACAGTTAGTTTTTATGAGGGGTGGGGCAATACATAAATACATATATGTACCACCTGAGAAAGGCCAGAGCAAAGTCTAGGGAGCTGGTTTTATCAGAAGTTTTATCACTTGGGAAATCAGCTGTAAAAGCCGTTCTGTAGCAATGTACATGGCTGTCCCGGTTTAGCCCCCGTTTCTCTCACCGATAAGAGCCCACCCCCCTGCTGATAACAGGCTAATTGCCGTAAGACTCGTGTGCTCCCCTCCTTCTGATAAGCGGCGGTGACTGAAGTGCCTGAAATGCGTGTGCGACAGCAGCGCTACGCGACTGATTAGACCGGGGCTCTAATTGATTGAAGTCAAATTCCAATTCAACATGGTAACACAACTGTTAAAGAACATGCAAGAAGGAAATTGAAACCCTGTCTGTTACATGATATAATGATTAAATGTGGATCTAATTTGTCCGAATTGCAGCCAGTTTCTAAATCAATCCGATCTAGACTGTTCCAAAACACAGTTGGGTGTTGGGTGTTGGGTTGTGGGAAAACTTTAGCCAGAAGTCTTTAAACAAAAATTGATTGCGTCAAAGAGAGAGACATTCAATGTTATCGTGTCGGGTCCCAAATGCTTACTTTTCTGCGAGTTCAAGGGTAAGGGCATTGTCTTATACTCACTGTCTCAATGATGCCGTTATTTGGTTCATGCGATACCGTTGATGCTTAATTTCATTGAAGCAGATCTGTTGGCGGCTGTGCAGCTGCTCCAGCAGCTCGATGTAGCGTCTGTTGCAGTTCTGTCGCAAAAACAGTAGGAGAGAGGGAGAGAGGGAGAGAGAGAGAGAGAGAGCGAGAAAAGGTGGTGAATTATAAGCAGCTGTTTGGTCAAGGTGAAAGCCATCATGGCAATACAACATATCTACATACACATATTCAAGCATAACCATAAGCAAAAACATACAGAGCTATACATACATACATATGGATATGTCTGCAAATACGTACTGGGCAAACAAAAGACTTCTCTTTCCCCTCAAAGGTATGTTAATAAAGGGTGGCTGTTTTGTCAGAGACCGCTCTGACAATTGCTTTAAAAATTGTTTGTGCCCAGTTGTCGCGTAACAGAGACTATTAATATAGGCAATAATAGCTCAAAGGAGTGGCAATGACCCCTCACCCTATACAACATACACCTTGGGCTCTTCTCAATTGGCTTACCTCCAGCTCCGTGTACTCCTTGTTAAGCTCCTCCCATTCATTTTTCAGTGAATCGATATCCATGTTGTGTCTTTTTATTTTTCGTCTTCTTCTTTATCCACGTTATTCGGTTGTGTTTTGTTGTTTTGTTGTATGCAACAGCTGTGCCTCCGAACCCCCCCTTTTACCGGCAGGGGCTTTTGAGGTTAGGTGACCGGTGAAAAATCAATTTAGTTGTGCGACGCCGTCTACTAATGGCTCTGTTAGTAGCGTAGTTCTCTTTCCACCTTCTGGTTATTTGCTGCTTACGCATGCATGCATATACATAGACACTTACATACACTGTGCCACAACGTATTAAAGGAAAAACAAAAATCACTTTCAAGAGGGAACAAAACAACAGTAATTTGATTTGCACTTGAAAATTAGGAGAAAAAAATATTGTGCCGCTACGCGCCGCACTCTTCACTGCTTTGCTTTGCTGGCGTCTCGCTCTGCACCCCTCTCGAACTGATGGTTCGTTCGGGTTATTTCTTTAAAAATAAATTGTTGAGCAAAACTTGTGACGAGCGTTGTAGAGGATGGTGGAGGAGGGTGGTGGACTGGCGAACAAACGACCGACCGCACACCGACTACACCGACGGACGACTAATATTTTGTTATTAACTATTTCCGTTGCACTTTTGTTTTAAATACTTTTGCAAACAAAAAATACACCAAATAAAATCCGCTCAGCGGCGGCCAACAATGTAAAACGGAATTACTCTCTGTGAGCAACGAACGAACGGCGCACATAAGGTCATCAATAGTCAGCGCGGGCGTCAGAAAGAGAGAGAATGAATGAGAGCAGCAGCAGACAGAGAGCGTAAACACCAATAGTGCTGCTCCGTTACGAACTAGTTCGCTCCAACAAAACAAAAATTTCCTAAAACCTTGAACATGTATATAAAAAAAATGGTATTAAATAAGATATATACCTATCTTCTATATATTACCGATTTTCGTCACTAGATATACGTTTATAGGTCTCAGTTTGGGATCCGTTAGAGGAACCACCAACCAACACTCACGAACAGAACCAAAGCGAGCCTCTTCAATGTCTGAGAGAGTAGAATGACGTGAGAGCAAGATAGTGAGAGCGCCCCAGTGCGGTGGTGAGTTTCGTCTGTTCACTTGCACGCTTTCATGTTTCCAAGCTAATAATGTTGAGTTTGCCACGTTTGGTGAACTTTAAGGTCTGTGGTGTGTTTAAATTGAGCGCGCCGTTTGAATGTTGATTTGTGAATGTTGAAGAGCTTGTGTCCGAGCTATTACAAGTAAAATTTGTGTTGAAGTAAAAAAGCATGTTTTATTCTCAAGCATTTCAAGCTTAGTAACAGTAAATGTAGTTGTTTTGTGGGGTGGTGGTTGGGGCGGAAGCCAAACAATAGACACAATAATAATTATAATAATAATAATTACACACACGACACGTACGAGTACTCATACAAAAAACCGCATTAACTATGATTGATCATCGGCAGACTCTACTCCTTGCGTCTGGCCCTGAGTCTCAGTGCCAGATAAGCCAATACCCTAAAGCTAACAATTAAGATGCCCAGTCCCACGTAATCCAGGGGCAAATCCTCAGCCGAGAAGTTTAGGGTCTCTAGGATGACCTTGCCGGAGCTGGGGCACGTCGTGTTCGAGGAGGTGCAACTGATTTCACCTGCCTCCACATCCGCCCACTGGTTGATGAGCAGCCCCTCGTTGGCGTACCGGAACCAGGACAGATACGACAGCCACTTCAGATAGACGGGCACCGACCCGGAATTCAAAAAGAACCCACCGAACAGCAGGAACGGGATAATGACGGGTGGGCCCACCGACAGGGCCATCGAGGTGGAGGAGCTGGCACAGGATATCAGATATCCGAACGATGTTGACACATTGGCCACCAATGTCACCAGTGCCAGGCAGTTGAAGAAGTGCATCACACCCGGCCTGAGTCCAATCATTGGATAGGCAATTGCAGTGAATACCAAGGGAACGGTGAGGAACAACGGCAGCTCTGCTATGGTCTTGCCCAAGAAGTACGTGTCACATCTGTACAGACGACTTCGGGCTTCTCTCATAAATACCGGCAGCTCCGATGTGAAAACCTAAGGAGAAAATACATGAAATAAATAAATATATATGTATGTATAAGAGGCGTAAGAGGGGGATTTGAACTCACATTGATAGTGGCGAAAACATTCTGGAAGGTCATGTTGGTGAGGAACAGGAAGATGGCCCCATTGATGTTCATTACGCCCACCTGCGTAAGCTGCTGGCCCAGAAAGATCAGGCCAATCAGGATGGCCACCATCTGTGGGGGGAATTCATATGATAGCCTTGCGGATTATTAAAATGTTGCTATATAATATTTGTTGTCCTATAGTGTAGAGTTTTGTATGTACAGACATTCCCATTAAAAACAATCGAATGTTGCCGAAAATTCAGTTCAATATTTACATATATGTATTTAAAACTGAGAAACGGACTACGCAACGTTCAGGTAAATTAGCTAAGACTACCTTAAAGGTTCAAGTACCAGTAGCGGTTCGATACCCCTCATCTTCATCTTCAACTCCTCCTCCGCCTCCTCTTCTTACCGTTGTCTGAATGAGTCGTACTTTGACCAGCAACGGTTCCTTCAGCACGGATAGCCAGGAACGCCAGAGCACTGCCCGGAACTGCATAAACCAGGTGGCCTTGTACGTATAACCATTTTCGGGCTGCTCCAGGGGCTGCTCGAGATTCTTGGTAGCCAGCAGCTGCTCCATTTCCCGGGCCACTTTGCTGACGGCAAAGTTATCGCATATCTTGGCAATCCTCTCTCTGGACTCAGCCTCGCGGCCTGGTACAACGGCCAGGACCTGAACGTAGAAGTCCGCCGGATTGTAATTAGTCGGACACTGGGCCCCAACACTGAAAGATTAATAGATACAGAAATATGTATATATTGTGGATACATCTGAAGATACATTTCATTAAACTATTGAACATAGAACTAGTTTGTAGTGGGATGGGAGCACGCTCATTTCAGCTGTCACCTAATTCACAGTGAAATTGACGGACAGACAGTAGTGGTCTGAGCCGAGGAAATGGTTGGGTAGTTGCTCCAAGCAGATGCGTGGCAGCAGGTAGTAGCTGCAAGGACGTATATTGTAGCGCGGACAGCCCTTCGAGTAGAAAATATGATCGGCATCGATCCAGCCCTGCTTCGAGTCGTAGGCGGACACCTGCTTGGTGGTAGTGGTGTAGACGGGCACCAACTGCTTGGAACAGGCTGAATAGACGGTGGGCGTCGTCAGGGTGCGGAAGGGTTTGGTGCCGCTCGAAAAGTTGAAGTCTCCTCCGAGGATGATTGGAATGCAGTTGCCGTTCTCGTGGTCGCGGCTATATTGGAGTAGTTCGCTGCGCAGACGTTGCACAATGTCTGGGCGCCCATCCGTACCCAGGGGACTGCCCTGCAGTAGATGGGCACTGCACACGATCAGCTGCTTGGGAGTACCGGTCAGGTTGAACTTTCCCATGAGGGCAAAGCGATCGAAGTCCTCACGCTTGTTGGGCTCCTGGACTTGGCGCCCCAAGGCCCGATGGCCGATCAGCTCGAGCTTTATCATATCGTAGATGATGGCTATACCATCGGATTCACTCTCCAACTTTTGCTGGAATATGTAATTGTAGCTCCGCATGGTGGTCGCCTTGAAGCGTCGCATGATCTGCGGCAGATGACTGCACTGGACCTCCTGCAGACAGAGGATGTCCGGATTGAGGACTTGCACCTCTTGCGTGAGCTTGTTCAGACGATTTCCCCAATTCAGATGCTGCTCTTCGAAGCCCCCATAGTGCGACTTGTGCTTCACTACCATATCCGGGGCCAACAGATTGTATGTCATCAGGCGGTAGACAACATTCGAGTAGTGGGGAGTCTCCACTACTTGCCAGCAGCGGCTCAGGTCGTAGCAGACCGCACCCATAAATCTTCCTTTTATGGAGTTCTCCATTTCTTTTTTCTGTACTGTATAAAATGTGTTTGGCATTTCTGCTTTTTTGACGTCTGACAGTTTATGTCTAGCGGTATGCCCATCAAATATCATCGGTTGCTTTTCCAGTATTAATCGGAGTTTGCTTTTTCCGGATCTGAGTACTCGTCTGCAAAATATTTTGTTGATCAAAATGCATTTGAATCATTTCCATACTAATATCAGCTTTGCATGTGTTAGTACAACGCAATATGTTTCGACAAAAATATGTTTTTGTATGCTTTTTTCATTTTCAGAGATCCGATGCTGATGTTAATTTCTGTTTTCTGTTGTGGCTCCAGCATATTTGAATAATATAAAAGCTGTTATTTGTTTGATTTGTTTTACAAACAGAACCGACCATATTGAGTATATACGAGGGCGGCTCTTCAAGTCCCTGGCTCTGGTCACTTTTGGCCTTTTTAGGACACAATGGCACTTCGCATCAAAAAGTTTGGCATTTTCGGGGATAAACATACAGAAAACTTTGGTGAGAAAATCTTCTAATCTTCTAGTCTGTTTTGTTGTAAGATCCAGGGCATCCTGTATCATCCTTCGACCGGTGACAACGAACAAGAGACGATCCTTTGTGTTTCTTTACAGATAGCTGCCATTCAAAGAACCAAATGAGCAATATCACGGGACAATAATAAAATGTACAGAGATAAATATATTCAAAATGGGAATATTGCTGCTAGATCGGAACGATCGAGTAAAGCTACATATATGGGTATAGGATTGTACTTACTAGGAGAAGAAGTCCACGGCCTCGCTGGGTGTCCCGAGGAAGGCCACCCGACCCTCGGCCATTAGCAGGATCTTGTCGAAAAGCTCGAAGAGCTCCGACGAGGGCTGATGTATGGTCAGTATAACGGTCTTGCCCTTCTGCGACAGCTTCTTCAGCACCTGGACGACACTGTGAGCGGTGAAGGAGTCCAGGCCGGAGGTGGGCTCATCGCAGATGAGGAGCGGTGGATCGGTCAGAGCCTCCGAGGCGAAGGCTAGACGCTTGCGCTCACCCCCCGACAGCCCCTTGACCCGACCGGGCACCCCGATGATCGTGTTCTGGCATTTGCTGAGCGATAGCTCCTGAATGACCTGGTCCACGCGGGCCACCCGCTGTCGGTAGCTGAGCTGCCGCGGCATCCGCACCATGGCCTGGAAGATGAGATGCTCGCGGGCCGTCAGCGAGCCAATGAAGAGATCGTCCTGCTGGACATAGGCGCAACGGGCCTGCATCTCCTTGGCATCCACGGGTTGGCCATTCAGCATCCGCATACCCGACGGCGACACTTGGATACCCTGCGGTGAGCGGAAGGCCAGGGCATTCAGGAGCGTTGTCTTGCCGGCCCCAGAGCTGCCCATTACGGCCAGCAGTTCTCCCGGATAGGCCACGCCGCAGACTGAGGATTGGCCAAGCTCCAAATTAGCCAAAAGATCCCTGCTAAATCCACCACCACCACCAGCTACTCACCATTCTTCAGCAGATGCTTCCGTGGCGCTGGGATGTGTCGCTCGTTGCAGAAGAGTCCTCGCGTCCGATTGACCAACTGTCGCCAGCCGGAGCCGGGCTGATTGACGGCCCCGAAGATGTCCAGATTGTGCCAGGCATAGGTGAGATTCTCCGGCTGTTGCCCGCTGACCGAACCATCCGGCGGCGTTGGTGGCCTTAGGGTGCCGTAGTTCTTGGTCTGGCCAAATCCCTGGCTAATGCAGCTCTGCGAGGAACCTCCGCCGCCGTCCCCCTGCTTCGCAGAAAGCACGAGGAGGGATGAGTGAATAAATTAATAAAAGGTTCCAGGGAATGGTTAAACGGAGGAGCTGCTTAAATAAGTGAGAGGCGGAGGAGCACGATAAGCAGAAGCTTGAAAGGCCCCTACACTCGAAGAAACTGGTAGACAGATGCACAATTGCATCTCCATGCAATAGCCAATAGAAACATTGGTAAATCAGTTGAATACCTCTATGTGAAATCGTTTTTATCCGAATGAAACGTGTATCTGCTATATACAAAATCGGTCTCTATATTTCGGCCACTTTCTTCGAGTGTAGTTGAAAAAGGTTGGCAACACAAAACTTTTCAATTTCACGCGTCCGTCCATAAAAATGAAGGCGTCTGTGCATAAATCTTGGCTAGCCGGGCTAATCCCTACCCCGACCCCGATCCCGATCCCGATTCCGGTCCCGGCACAGTCCCAAGCCCCCAAAAGGACGGCGGCCCATCTGTTTAATAAAAATGCCCAAGTCCCGGGCCTTGGACCCTGGGAGGCGGCGTCTATTTAAAATGTGCAAATTAGGGCAGCCATAAGCCGCAGCCGGCTAACGTCCTTGAGGGGGGGTGGTGCCAGTGGTGGTGGTGTGCTACAAATGGGGGGGGGGGGGGGGGGGGGGGGGGGGGAGTGGAGTGCTCGCCCCGCCGCGCCATGTTGCCACTTCATAAGACAATTGTGAGTGTAAATCGCTGGCATCTTCGGGTTTCGTTCGGGGACTTTGAGCCCGTCAGCTTTGTTTTTATTAAATATAAAACTTTAAGGACATCGGGAAAGGGCAATTTGGCCAAGCCTGGCACTTGACCGGCCTCCGAGTGCGGGGAAACTGGATCATAATGGATGAGTTGAGCAGCGACCATAATCGTGAAGCTTTTTTGTTGCCTACATATAGCTTGTATACGTACATACGATGTATATTCATAAGTATGCGAGTGGCTGCTCGGAGAAACTATATCATGAATATTTACTAGGCGGGCATACTCGATTGAGTTTATTACATTTGAGGGAAGGATTTCCGACTCGGCACACATACATGTATACATTTACAGTGCGTTAGTGGGCGTAGGCAGCAGGCAAAAGGGTGAATAGTGTGGGTGTATTGGTGCAGATCATTGCTGTACACTGTACGTGCAGCAGCAGAACCATGAGAGGTTCTCTATCATACATATCTTCTATCATACACCATTCTACACATCCATATACATATGTATATTCGATAATCGAAGATCGAAAAGAAAGCTTCAAAATATGTAGTTCTATGCATAATGAATATTCAATGAACTCCATAGATGAGTGAAATTGGTTGCGAGTCTACTCGGGCTTAATTGTGAGAGAAAATCGAGTACAGTCGATAGGTGTGGCAGAGGGGATTTTCGAAACCCACTCAGCAGTCAGATGTCTGTCCGGAGCTCCATCTACTCCTCGCATGGGTCGAGGTGGGGCTTCCCGCTCGAAGCGGTAACCGAAGACGTTTCACCCACGCCGCTGACGTCGCTTGCGGTAACGTCGGACTTCTACACTTCGTATCCCGTCCACTACTATTGCACAGTCCCGCCCCTTTGAGTTTTGCCTCCCATTGCCCCGCCCGCTGTCATCTTTCATTTTCATAAACAATTTTTGCTGTTTTCCATTTCCCGCTGCTTGTGGGGTTTCCACCAGGGCCTGCGGCCAGAGCATAAATAACAGGGATCCACTAATTGGCGTCCAGGAAAAAAATAATACCAAAAAGAAAATGATGGCCACAATATGGAAAACATTTTATCCCCCACTCCCTACCCATAATAATTTATATAAATAATCATAAAAAATTAAGCATAAAAAAAATAATAAAAAATGCAAACTACGTTAAAAAATACTTACTACTGAGAGAGAGAAAGAGAGGGAAGGAGAGGGCTGAGAGGCAAATAAAAAGCTGACATTCAATGAGAAAGAAAATTTAAAAAAAAATAAATGCAAATTCGGGGACACGAAGTTCATATACACTTGCCGTAACCTCTCACTCTCTCATTATAAGGATAATAAAGAATAAGGACCTGTGATATTCTTTAGATTTTTATTTGGCTTGGCATAACAAATGAAAAGATTTAACTACGGTTCTCATTATTATCCTTCGAGCAGTCACGTAAACTAATCGAAAAGAAGCAAAATAATGTCAAAAAATAAAAACTCGACTTTCCACCTAATGATCCTGATGATCTGATCAACCCTCAGCAAGGGTATACTCGTACAAATACTTAATGTCGTCCACCTTACCAAAGAACCTGTCATTCAACCTTCTTCTGTCGGTCGGTCCCACTGTCCAGTGTGTTGTCTGACTTTTGCTGAGAAATCATCGGGTGACGTCGGGAACGGTGAGCGCGGAAAAAATTTAATATCCGTTACAAGAACTCCCTGAGAGCAGGCCGAAACGTGGGGGGTTGGTTGGTGACTCAGACCTGGCAAAATTGTTTTCCCAACAAATGAGGCCGAAAAATGTTATTAAAAAGTTATTCTTTTCTTTGCAGCCCCTCGCACTTCTTAGCCACCTCTTGAGCAGGTCTTATATTATATCTTGGTATATTATTTTCTTTCTTCGGTAGGATGGCAGCAGGAAAAAGATGCTACATTTCATATTTATTTAATATTTTTTTGCTTACTTTTTACTTTGCGTGCTATTTTTGAATTACTTATGAAAGAAATTCGTGAGAGGGTGGTATATGGGAGTGTGAATGCCGGCTACCCCCCTCCCCCCGCCACCCACCCCCCGATGCCAGATGGCAGAGCAGAAATGTTTTTTGATGAACTTGACAAATTGAAATGACTAAATGAAGAAGCGACTCAATTTGTTTTGTCTTTTCTCCTCCCTTTGTCCTCGAGTGTGGGGCGTCGAGTGGCTAATGAGTGCACTCAAAAGTCATTCACTTGGATGAATACAAGGCAGGCACGGAACGAAGCACGGCTCGCAATGTGAAACATTGGAGATACAAAAAACCAGAGCTAGCTTTGAGGAGTATATGTTTGAGAAAATTCGAAAAATATTTAAGAAATTTTCACGGATTCATTACGCAGAACAAAAAACAGATGCCTCTTCCCACAAATTGGCCCTTATCCACCTTTCCTATTATCTCTCGAAGAACTTTCTTAAACCTTCGGACCATTTCCAGTTACACTTGGCCTCAAAGACCGAGGCAGCGATAAAGAACTTCCAACACAAGCCGAGGTGGCAAGGTGGTTTTTTTTGAGCAAGCAGATACGCAGATAAACACAGGTGCTAAGATACAGATACTCGTATCAGATGCTGAGCCCGAAGCATGGGCCTGGTCAAATAATGACCTAGATAAGACAAGACAAGATTATAGAATATCACACAAGCATCGCAGAGGGGGAGGCAAGTAAATAACTCAGAACTCAAAAGATCTCGCTGCAGATAAAGTATTTTATAGCCCTCGGGGCCATAGATACTCAACAATGTTGCTCCACTATCTGAGACTTATGTAGAATGTATGTATGTCCAATCCGGGCCCTACTCTTTTGGTTCTGCCCCACTGAAACTGGGCTAAGAACATTCTTCAATTCAATTCATGAGAAAAATGACACGCTTGTTGTCAGACACTCGAAATTTTTAGATTTTTGGATGCAAAAACCACACCTGAACTGTGGATGCTCTAACTCATATTTGTACTAGTCTTTGTTCGAGAACAGGTGCATATTAATTTAATCGGATTGAATGGACCTTGCAAGTCAACCCATCGATATTTTACATTCGATCTATTCTATGACTTGAATCAAGCTCTAAGTATGTTTTAATGGATCCTTTGATAGTGTTATAATATAATAATCTTGTTTATCTGATCAACTTGGATGCGACCTTCTTTGAGCTTCAGTTTGGTTTTTGTTTCTTAGCATGACCCATTCAGAATTGGAGATGATTTTCCTGGGCCAAATAAAATTCATTAAAATACTAGCTAATTTCTGGTTGCTCCGTTTGATGTCTGGGTCTCCGTTTGATCTGGTTTTCGTTAGTATTTCTAGTTTACGCAATTGCAGTTGCGGTTTAGTGGATTTTTTCTGCTATTCTCACGCTGCTTCGAGCCCGAGCCCGAGCCCGAGCCCAAGACAAAACCCCACCAATGGATGTGGCAATCGACTCGATTATACTCACGTTGTTCAAGTGTTCGGCAGAGGTATTCTTGCTACCTCCGCGTATCAACAACTCCTGATCCTCTTGGCCCATCTTCTTTAGTATGGGTTCTGCTTAATAGTTAATTTCCTTGATCGATCACTCACTCAAAAAAAACAAACAAAACAAACAAAACTACTTATGTTTGTGCGGAAAATGTGGCTTTGCACGGGGTTCGATACGGGAGTGGTGCAAACCGCGTGGAGCTTTGTCACGAAACCGCTGGCAAAATGCAACTGAAGGCGGACATTGACGTTGGTTAAGGCGACAACAGCGACAGTGGCAGCGACAGTGACAGCGACAGCAACAGCAACAGCAACAGCGACAACTTTGACTCTTGGCTTGACTCTTGGCGAGTGGAAATGAGTGTTTGAGTGGCCCGGGGCTCTGGGATTGCGACTGGGACTGGCAGAGATAAAAACTTGAGCGCCTCGGCTATGGTTCTATTTGAAGGCTGATTAGAGCGAGCAAGAGGTAGGTAGAGGGTGGTACTGCTGCATCATCTCTTCTTATCGCCATCTTATTCCTGTTTATTTTTTATTATTATTATTTTTTTTGAGTTTCTGCTCCTCCTTGTTTTCTCTTTAATCTGTTTGTTCTTACTTGGTGGTGCGAGGGCTTGCACTGTACTTGGCATGCATGATTTATCAAACGCCTGTTGACGCGCCTGCCCTCAGTCGTTGTCGCCATCGTTAACACCTCATCATCTCTGGGCCCGGACATTATCAATCTTCATCATCAGCCATCAGGTGGCTGGGCAGGACCAGGACCAGGACACTGACAGGGCCAGTGGTGACGTGACGGACAACATTCAACCACTCTGTCAATAAATTTTTGAATGTGATGAAAGAGGAAGTTGACTTGAGATTTGTAGAACCACTGCAGATAACTCTTCTTGGAGGGGGACTATATTGAACTATATTGAAAGTAGTCATATTTTTCTTGATTTTAAATATATAATCGTATCAATCAATTTATTATATACTCGTATAGGTAATTTAATGCCTGTTCTTCTCCTTCTCCGCCAACCAAAATATGTTTTGAAAATGTGCCACATTTGAGATTAAAACTCAATATTCAAATAAATGCCCACAAAAGGGCGTGTTTGTTTCTGTTCGTTTCTGTTCTGGGAACTCTGATGTTTTCTTTGTCAACGTGGATCGAGACCAGACAACAATGTCTGGGCAATGTCTCTCCTCATGTGGCACTCATTCACTCATTGGCGCTGCACTCTCGCACTCATCTTGGGGCTTACACTTTTGGGGCTTCGCCTGTTTGAGTGCAGCTCAGAGCGGGTTTGCCACTGCTTGTTGCTGCTCTGTTTGTTGTTCGAAGAACCCAAGAACCAAACCCTAAATCCATCTTTAACTTTTCGCTAAGCTCTAAGGATGGCATAGGGCAAAGCTGGGGGGTGGATGGGTGGCGGGGGGCCTCCACTTCATACCCAGCCGCTCTGCCATCACTCACTCAGTCGAATGCTATAAACTTTTTACACTTAACAATTTATTGTCACTCTGTTGTCGCTGCTGGAACTGGACTTGTTATTGTTGCCACCGCGCGTTGCAGCTTGCAGACTAGAAAAAAAAATGTGAAAAAGCGAATGACCAGGAGATACTCTTTGCATACAAGTCTCTTCAAGATCTTCATCTGTGTATGGATTGTATGGTTTAAAGTGGTGAAAGAACAAAGGAACGGATAAGGGACAGGGCTGAAACAACATTCAGGTACATCATTTCATAAATATATACGAATTGTACCACCAATCTTAGAGACCTGTAGTTTTTTGTGGAAAGGACAGACTGGTATTATTTTCCCAAGTCTTTCCATCGATTTCTCCAGTCCGTGACATTTCTTCGATCAAAACTAGTATACCCTTTGTGGTCGTTGTGTGTTTGGGTAGTATGAAAAAAGCCAAGAAGTAGCTAGGGTAAAAAAACGTAAAAAGTTTTTTTTAACACGCTTTTGCAATCTCTCTCACACACAGACACAGAGACACAGACACAGAGGCACACAGACGCATACAGGTGAGGCTTTGGCCATTGACACAGGATGTCAGGCACGAGGGCGGGGGGAGTGAGGGGTGGGGTTCAGTCAGAGTGAGAATGAGGTTGACTTAACCCCTGCTTGAATCTGTGTTCCCCCCGCCTTACCCGTGCCCGCTCTCTCTTTGCACTCTTAACCCATGCAAATTATTGACGCGGACAGTGGGCTCAATAAATCTGTGTACGGGTATGCGGATGTGGGGGTTGTGTGAGTGTGAGTGGAGAAACTTTTCCGAGCTGCACGCTAATCAGACAGCTTTCTAGTTCATTGCCTTAACCCCATCGCCCCGCCCCACTCCTTGAATGGCACCGCCGTCTACTCCTTTGGCGTCCGTGCGGCAGAGGCAGCGGCAGCGGCAGCCCCACTCAGTTGGCTGTAATTGCAAAGTAAATCAGCGCTGCCATTTGCCATGCCCGAAAAGTATGCTCCATGGATAAAGTGGCAGTTAACAGGGTGGCAGGGGGCTGGATGTGGATGTGGATGGAGGCCCTGAGGATAATGTAGGAGGGCTTGAGCCAAAGTTTGAGCAACTTTTAAAGAGAGGAATGTGTTATGGGTTCGGGTCACATAGTTAGTTAGTCCAACAACTTCAAGCCAAATGACTGCTGAAGTGCCCCCAATCTTGGGTGTGGATGGAGCGGATGAAACGGATGAAGCGGGAATAGCTGATGGAGTTAAGCGTTTGTCAGACATCGAGGTTGAGATTTATGGCAGAGTTAAGTTGAATTAGACATTTTTTTTGGTCTGCTTAGACGGGTTCCTTCAGAAATGCTCCTGAGATCTTAGGGTAAGCAGATATCTACTCAAGTTTATCTTCTAACTGGTGGAAATATCAATTCCCAAAAAAGTTTCATAAGACTGCAGAGATTTATTTTAGTGTTTCGATTGGAAAATATACAAGGGTTGGGGTTCTTCCAAAATTTTAGGATTACATATCAGATATGTGAAGTATCGGGTCTTCTAATCACAAAGGATTAAGTGGGGAATAGGGAATTGCAGTTGGCATTCGAGCTCCAGCCATGCCATTTATTCTTTAGTTTTTCAGGTCCTTCCGAATGAGCTGCCCAAACCGTTCTCATCTTGTCAGTTCTCAGCTCAAATTTTTATGTCATCCATTTCGTTGCCGGCGCTGATGAATTTGTTTATGCAAAGACAAGACCCGGAATAGGGATAGGGTTGGCTGTGTAACCAATGTGGACTTCATGGCAATCGCCTCAATCTTGTCCTAGTCGGTGGCAATGCAATAAAACGAGAAGACACAATATATTTTTCTATTAAAGAACATCAACCAAGTGCTCAACAGTGCGATAAGGCAGTGCCAGTCGGGCAGTCAGTCAGTCAGCCAGTCAGCCAGTCAGGAATAGGTCGAGCCTAGGCCGGGCGGAAGTCGCCATTGCTTACAGCACGCGCGCGTCTCATAAAAACGTATCAAAACATCCGCTGGGAGCCATAAAAATTTTGCACTCTGACTCCGATTCACGACCCCCTATAACGATGCAGTCTCGCTGCCATGATAACTTTTCTCCCAATATGTAGGATCCGGCGAGAGTGTAATCTAATAAAATGTTCTGTTTATGTGGCAACAGGCCCGACTGGCACTCCCACAAGTGAATCTTCTTGAATTGTTGCCTCCTGAATAGTTCCCGCCGAGTGGCCTCCCACCTTCTGGTGTCCCTGGACTTTTTGCTCATGTGTGCAACAGTTGCGCTGCTTTATGGCCGGACGGAGTTCGATGCGGCAACAAAATCTGTGAGCACATGAAACGGAGGATGCTTCAATGTCCACTCCTAAAGCAGTCCTATCTGCCATCTCCCGGAGCTAAACAGGAGAAGAGAGCTTCCTTGAACGCTTGAACTCCCACTGTCCCTATTCGAATGCTCACCATTGTACTTGACCTATTTGCATACTCATTATTGTGTAGTTATTGCCTATGTACAAAACTATTTGTAACGGCAGGAGCTTGGGGACAATTTGACTTTGAATTGGCGCTCACATGGGCGCCACCTTCCCAATGGATCAGAAGACTGATCCATCAGGACCCACTCTCTGTGGAGTAACTCGAGCGACAGCGCGTAACATCCAAACGAAAACAAGAATCGAAGATACTACAGACTTCATCTATTCAACGTACTTTCGACTGAGTCAATGGATACGTCTATGGTTTGTTTGAGTTTTGAAAACATTATCAGTACAAAGGGATTCGTAGACATGCATTTGTAGGCATGGGAAGGCTCTGGCCTTGGACGAAGCACCCTCATTGGATAAATTGATGGCAAGTAATAGCTTAATGTACACAAGGATTGAATAAGTAAGCTTGATGTTCTCCTCATGGCTCTCGGAAGCATATCCACAAACTTTAATTGAAACATTTTAGGGGCATAAAAGTACACGATGAAAAAGGGAGATCTTTTGGCGATGCTTAAGTTTTTTAGGCTTGCAAACTTACGAGGCTGCACCTTTCATTCCGCATTGCATTCCATATTTTAATTAGTTCTGTCAGACTGTGTGGGGATTGTATGCGGGAGACATCTGCTCTGTGAACATCATAAGCAGCTTCTGACATTTGTTGCCTGTTGCAACATAATTGAATTAAAAATTCATACAATTTATCAAGCGGACATGCCACATGCCAGAGAGTCGAGAAGCTAAAGTCAATGCCAAAGCCCTCTCTTTCTCGCTGTTCAAGCATGTCTCTGTCTCTGTCTCCGCACTTGACATAAACACAAAATAAAATAATTAAATTGCATTAAAGGAATATAAAAAGAGAGGGATAATAAATACATAATAGGGGTGTGAGTAAATATACATATGAAAGGAGTGTAACGACAATGAAAATGCGTAGCTAATTAGAAAACTGACGGCACAAAGCGGAGGCATCAGAGGATGGAAAAGGGACTGGGACTGGGACTGGGACTTGGACGGGGACGGGGACAGGGACAGGGACAAATAAAGTATACGCATCGTCAGACAAGGCAATGAATTATGCAAAAATACATAGGGCCGCAGTCACAGCCTCAAAGGGGAGGGAAAAGCCTTTTGTTATTTAATTTTCACTCCCATTTTCCGCTTTCATTCTTCATTCTGCATTCGCTTTCTTTTTTTTACATAACATTTGACATTTTGTCACATTTAAAAAATATTACAAAGGATGCCGGTACACGGGCGTCGAGGATAGGAGAGGCGAGGGCTGGTAGGAACATTATATAAGCCACGTACTAATATGCCATCTAATTTG